ATAGCTGGCCAGGCGAAGGTTCTTACAAGGTCTATCAGGGAATTGGTACAAGTGGAACTGTTGTCGCTTCTATAGATAGTTTTATTACTGGTAGTAGCTTGAATTATGGAGATTTCTGTCTGGAGAATGATATCTACACTATTCAATTACTTGATTCTGGAGGGGATGGCTGGTTTAATCCTGCTGGGTATTATCTGACCGTGGATATGGGTGCAATGATTTTTGAAATGGGACAGCTCCCTGCGAACACTCATTCCGTAAGCACAATGTTTTCTTCATATCTTCCGTTCCAGATTGAGTATACCGAATGGAAGGTCAACTATGATTGGGTGGAGAATTGGAATACTGTTGACTTTGATGACTCTGATTGGGAATCTAAGAAGGCGAGTCTGATTGGAACGAATAGTAAAATAACCACCTACATTCGTAAAGAAGTAAACATTCCAGATATTGGCAACTACCATGTGCTCAATATTCGTGTGAAATACACTGGAGGTGTTGTTGCTTACTTTAATGGATTCAAAGTGGCTCGTTTTAATATGGGGGAAATCTTCGATTCGGAGACGATGTCATTTACCCTCCATGATGAAAAGGTATTCTCCATGTTCCACATAATTATGACGAATGTTGCTGGAAGAACGGGAAAGAACATGATGGCTTTTGAAATTCATCGTCCTATGGATCAGTCATCGTCAAATCCGATAGTGTTCGATGCTACCGGAGTGTTTGGAGTGAATGAGTGTTCGATTGTTGTGGACACTTACTCATCAATCGATGGTTCGGAGGTTGATATGTGCTCTATTGAAGAACTATTTGATTTGAATCCCACAACTTACGGATATCAGACAAACGTTATGGGAACCTATCTGGAATGGGCGGTGGAAAACTTGGAAGGAACCAAGTTCAATAGTTTTGCTATGCAAACCGTTTATTCTCGTAGTGAGTATGGATTCTCTCTCTATGGTCGCAGAAATACATTTGACGATTATATCACAGCAGTTGAGACGGTTGATCAGACTACTCAGGCACTAAGGCGCAATGCTTGGTCTGCTCCTGTGGGTACTATTGGATTCAAGCAGCTTCGATTTGAAGTGGATGTCGCTGCATCAAACATAGTCTATGTGAGTTCCTACATGCTTCAGTACTGTAAAGTGAGTGGAAGTGGATCATGTCCTGGTGTTGATGAATACCCTTCTGTGGGAGAAGGAGAGATTTCACCTGGCAATTGCGAAAAGGGATATCGAGGCTATTCTTATCGTACTTGTTCCAATGGTCAATTGGGAGAGATTGACTACAGACATTGCATTCAGCTCGAACCTAAAAATCTGACATATGAGCACAATGAATACAACCTGACATTAGATATTACGATATCCATTGCTCCACCTGCATATGAGAATGTTAGTGAAGAGTTTTATTTGGCCGAAAATAACCATCTGCCTCTTGGGCTTACGCTAAACCCGATATCTGGAGAGATTGTTGGAACTCCGGTAATGGATATCGGAAAGTCAAATTGTACAATCTTTGGAAAGAATCAAGTGGGTATTGTGTCTACGACACTCCTATTCAATGTCCAAAGAGGAAGGTGTGAAGAAGATGGCCACTTCCCAATGACTTATGTTGGAAAAGTGGCTGTTTATGAATGCGCATCGGATGGTCTTTATATTGGAACACAGAAAAGGCCTGCAAGCTTGGCGAAACGGGTGGCGAATGGCAAAGAACGAGTGGGTTCTGTATTTCGATTATTTTCTTAATTGTACTGGTAGTAGTAGTTGTTGTGATTATTGTGGTTATTGCGCTTATTATAGTTTATGTGAAGAGAAGTAAAAAACAGCAAAATACCAAAAGAAAATCTGTTTCTAAAAAGGGAAGTGTGAAAAAGGATATGAATGTCTAAATGGAATTGAAAATCCCAATTAAAAGACAGTGATTATTTCGAAAAAAGGAATAACTATGTAAAGCAAAATATGCCTATATGTTAGTTAACTTCAAAAAGCAACACTTCCTAATTACAAGAAACTAAACTGAGTAAAGCAAACACGTTTTTAGTTTGATCATGTCTGAAATGCATATCACTCCGTTCATTTTGTATAGAATCATCAAATTGGAACGTAGCATACACCTAGCCAAACACATTTTTTTCTAGTTTGAAACTGGTTCGTACGTAGACTCCACAAAAAGACCAAAGTTGTTCCAGCTCGCTTTCATAGGTTAAATCTGTATAGTTCGTAATAATAATGGTATTTTAAAATATATGTTGTTGTCTTATATATCTGACACTCTCTTCTTTGATCAACTTTTCTGTAGATATGTCTTACAACGAATATTTACGATTCAATAATAATACCACACGGTAATATTTCATAGCTATCCGTAAGGAACCAAAAACCGTGTATTACTTACACATTCTGATTCGATCGATTTACTTAACTGCCGAAAGTCTATATATATATATATATATCTTTATCCTTACTTTCATAAAGAATTAGCACATAGGGACAAGAAACAAATTCTTTACTCTGATCGAATGTTTCTCTTTCCATTAAGCCTCACGATTTACTGTACGAAATTTAGAATGAAAAAATAGAATTACAGCAATTTCTTTCAAAGATTTCCATAAAAGATTGAAAATGCTCTATTTCCGGATTTCCAAAAGTTATGGGTATATTTGCAACATATACAATACACTTAATTGTTGTTTTATTTTCTATTCCATAGTCATTTTTTCTATTTCCTACATTGTAAAAAATGGCCAATTATTATTCTACTCATGAGTTACCTATTTTCTGGATCATTTTTCTGGTTTTCGCAATTGTATTCAATGTATATTGTAGTAATAAATTTGTATATAATATATTTTGCGGTACTAACTCTATTTCTACCTATTCTACAAAAGATCGCTTTCAAAGCACTTCTGTGCATTTCTCGACTTCTCAGCAAGAGGTTATGAGACTTAAATTGTATCCGAGCTTGTCTTTTCTAAAATCATCGAAAGTGCTCAATTCTAACAGCCACTATTTTTCCAACAGTGACTCGTCTCTGATTCTATCAGAAAATTCTATTAAAAGACCCAGACTTGTGGTAGATCTAAAGTTTGCTGAGAGATTGAGGAACAGTCAGAAGAATGATAGTCTCCCTTTGGTAAATGATATTATTGTTACGGAGCAAAAGCGTTCCTGGGTTGTATATGTTATTATCAATAGTCTAAACGCACTTCCCTCCTATAGAGGGATTACGAACATGAATGTGGATCTGATTTATGGCAACCGTGTGTATCATAATAAGTTCAAAGTTATGAAAGAGCACCAAATTAGACTCCTAAAATATGTTGTCAGTGATCTTCCTTCGTTTGGTACCTTTACGTTAGTTGATCATGCAACATCATGGGAATACGATTCTCTTCCATTCCGTGTAGTTCCTTATCAACCTAAAAGAAGAATGGCAATTTGTACTTATATTTCTTCGTACAATACTGTGAACGAAATACGATTCTTTTTGGCCTATTATTTAGTCCAAAAGGTGGATACCATCATTTTCTATTGTCCTGATAATTATGATTATTTCTCTAGACTACTGAAGAAAGAAATTGAGAGTGGATATGTTATTTTATACAATTATCCATGGCCGTTATCGAATGATTTTGGTGTCATACAAAACTCCCTGCAAATCAGCCAAGTAAATAGCTGTTACTATAGACATCGAAGCTTTTATCAATATATTATATCCATAGATATGGATGAATATTTGTATAGCGAGCTTCTTCCATATGACTTATATAATGCGATCGTAAACAGCTTTAGGTTTCACCCTCCAAAGGATGATATTGCTGTAGAGTTATATTTTTGTTTATTTAGTGTAGGTTCAATCGTACTTGTATACGGGGGGTACAAATCGTGAGTATTCGTTAGGGAACGGGACCCTATTCAATGATTTTAATAAACGAATGGATAACAATTTGGTATCTGGAAGACCGAAACAAGTCATTCACACAAGTAATGAAGGATGGTTTTCGATTCATTGGTGCTATCGATGTGCAGTTACTTTTGATATTCCGCCAAACTTTCTTCGGATTGCTCATTTCAGGGCGGAAATCCCCCTGAATGATACGCTCACTGTGACGCACACGCTTGAGCAATACACACCAAAAATCAAGCAGTATTTGGCCAAAATTGTGTAGAGGTACATTTGTTTGTCATCGCTGTGTCGACTGGGGCTTTTGCTATATTCTGTTTTGTTTCTATCTGAGATCTTTTGATATTAATTGTAACGTGCATATTTGTACACTCTAATGCTGTTTTCTTTTAGACTCTTTGAAATTCTCTTATTGGTGAGCATCTAGAAATCACACTCTGAAAGGTTCGTCACATTGTATCCGTATGATGTATAGTTAGTGTTATAACGGATACCTTCAAAAGAGAAATGTGGTTTTGCTTCATGCACCGTCCTTATTATAACTTGGGTCTTCCAAGTGATATGTGCATCTGGGTACTAGCAATCATGTGAATCTAGCTCACAACAATTCGTTGTGTGAATCGATAAATTGTTTTTCTTGTTTGAAAGTCAAACTGTGCTTTTCTTACACTAAATTATCGATAATGGTTATATTTCTCTGTAGCATACCTCTTACAATAACAAGGATATATTCATTTTTATATTACACACTCTCTGCATTCCGTGTCTTTCACCGATTCATTGCCGAGCCATTCAGGCAGGTGCTGAAGACAATTATGCCATTTTCTTCTCTCAAAAGGAGTGACTTGGTGCAATCCTTCGAGATCTTCCCTTCTAAGATTGATTTCCGCTTTTATACAATCCAGTGATCTTCCATATACTTGTAAAATGATTCAAACAGAGAATAGTATGTGTATTTGATATGTTTCTTAGTAATCAAGGAACCACTCAACACATCCACTTTTACCAATTATTGTTTTACTATGCAAAACGATACTGATTTTAAGGTACGCTGGTTGGAGAGATTGTATCACCGATAGGTAGCAGATATGTCTCTTGCTGAATGGGGCCGAAAGGATCTCACCCTTTCAGAGTACGAGATGCCTGGCTTGATGGCTTGTCGCGAGAAATATGCGGGAAGACTGGAAGGGGCTAGAATTAGTGGTTCCTTGCACATGACGGTTCAGACAGCTGTGCTCATTGAGACACTGAAGGCTTGCGGAGCTAAACTGCGATGGTGTTCTTGCAACATCTTTTCTACTCAGGATCATGCTGCTGCTGCGATTGCTGCTGCGAAGTCTGCTGCGGTTTATGCCTGGAAAGGAGAGACCTTGAGCGAGTATTGGGAGTGCACCTTGAAGGCTGTTTGTTGGCCTTGTGAAGATGGTTCTGTGTGTGGTCCTGATCTTATTGTGGATGACGGAGGCGATATGACTCTGATGATTCATGAAGGTGCTAAGTGGGAGGCTCTCTACGAAAAAGATGGAACTCTGCCTGATCCTGATGCTGTTGAGGGAGAGGACTTTAAGTGCCTCCTGGCTCTTCTCCGTCGTGAGATTCCTAAGAATTGCCATCTCTGGAGATCAATTGCTGCCAAGTGTCTTGGTGTGTCGGAGGAGACAACAACGGGCGTTTTGCGATTGTACCAAATGGAGAAGGAGCACTCTTTGCTGTTCCCCGCTATTAATGTGAATGACAGCGTGACAAAGTCCAAGTTCGACAATATTTATGGCTGCCGACACTCTCTTCCTGATGGAATTATGCGTGCCACCGATGTTATGATCGCTGGTAAGCGAGTTTTGGTGTGCGGTTATGGTGATGTGGGTAAGGGTTGTGCGGAAGCCATGGTCGCTGCGGGAGCTATTGTGTGTGTGACTGAAGTGGATCCGATTTGTGCCCTTCAGGCGTACATGCATGGCATTCGTGTTGTGCGCTTGGCTTCGGTTGTGGACGAAATCGATATCTTTGTGACTTGCACTGGAAACAAGAAGATTATTATGGCTGAGGATATGAAGAGAATGAAGAACAACGCCATCGTCTGCAACATTGGTCATTTCGATAATGAGATTGATATGGCGGGACTCTATGCCATGAAAGACGTGAAGAGAGAAAACATTAAGCCTCAGGTTGATCGTTTCGTGTTCCCTGATGGTCATGGTGTGATTGTGCTTGCGGAGGGCCGACTGGTGAATCTTGGTTGTGCTACTGGACATCCTAGTTTTGTGATGAGCAATTCATTCACGAATCAGGTTCTTGCCCAGATCTCTCTCTGGGACAACCAGAAGACTCAGCAATACGAGCGTGGCCATCTGTATACTCTTCCGAAGGAGCTGGATGAGATGGTAGCTCGTTTGCATTTGGAGAAGCTTGGATGTGAGCTCACCGAGTTGACTCAGGAGCAGGCTGATTACATTGGTGTGCCGATTCAGGGTCCTTACAAGGGAGACAACTATCGTTATTAAATGTGTTTGTTTTAGACAGTGAGTGGAATGTTTTTATGTGGGAAGCCGTATTTTCTGTGAGTATGTGATCATCATAATATTGCTATTACTATTTTGGGATTGATTCTTGTGGTTGGAATAAAGTATTATCAAGTCTTTTGTGTGTTGGAGACAGGTAGTATCATGTATTTCCAAGCAATATCATCTCTCCCCACCATCCTATGACATTCCTTCCATCAATATCCATCTATTACCTTCCATGAATCCATCGATCCACAAACTATTACCAATCCTCTACACAAATCTTTACTCTTCTTCCATTTACACACACACACATTTATAGATAAAATAATTATCAAACAAAAATCTCTAAGAACCCAATGTTTCCACACGTTTCAAGAAATGTGATTCATTCTTTAGGTACACTGCCAACCAACACGGCTTATCAGGAAGTCTGTGTGTATGAAGGGTTTGTGGATGAAGCCGAATCCACTCCTCGTCTTCTCGTGTCACCACCTCGCTTGCTATATACATCTGCCCTGAAGCAATTTTGGCTATGCTGGGTTCGGATGCAGATGGGCTGGATCGCACGTTATGCAACGCTTGATCGCGATCCCACAAACTAACAAAGAGCTGACTCGAAGCAGGAATGCATAAAGGATCCATTTCACGAGGCTCGGCACACACCCATCCAGTAGCCATAACTCCTTCCTTCGTCTTCAGAATCGTAGACATGGTCTGCTTACTCACTCGAAGCCAGGTTCCATCGGCTGTATAGATCACTTGCTCCACATCAAACTCGGACCCCTTGGGAATCTTTGCCCCTTCAGGAATCGTGAGACTCGGAGCTTTCCGGAAGCCTATCCTAAGAAGCCAATCACAAAACATACAGGCTTCTTGAATAGCGACAAAGGTAGAACTCGACTTCGGGGGACTCGTGATGGAGTTCGATGGCTTGTCGATCATTTCGTCAATGAAAACTAAACGTGAGAACAGTGTAGATGAGCGGCTCGTCCTACTCGACGTGTTACGACGACGACGAATATTGAAGTGCTCTAGCATGCGAACAGCGCCATCCATATGCATCGTGGCTTGCGACTCATAACGCATCCAAGGCAGCATCGAGGCCTACACAAAATCGTCCCATGGAGTATTCAATTCACTTGCTTGGCAGTGTATCGCTTCTCAGGATCGACGATAAGCAGTTTGGAGATAAAGTCTTTCGCATCGTCGCTCACATGATCCCACTCGGGAGAAGGGAAATCAAACTTTCCTCGCAGGATCTGACGATACATAGCCACATCGTTATCCGAAGAAAAGGGAGGATAGCCGCAGAGTCTAGCCCTCGAGGCAACTCACAGTCCGCCTACAAGATATACGTGATCACTCCGATTGCCCAGATATCGACGGGAGGTCCGTACACCTGCCCCTTCATAATCTCTGGAGCCAGATATCCCGGCGTTCCGCACGACGTAGAGAGCCCATTCATGGCATGCGTCTATTGATCATCGGCCAACGGAAGGAGTCGACCTCTCTAGCAAACCCGAAATCAGCAATCTTGATGTTCGTATAGTCCGATTTGTCCTTGAGAAGAATATTTTCGGGCTTCAAATCGCGGTGGACGATCCCGCGATCATGGCAATACGCGATGGTGTACAGCAACGTACGAACCACGGTCTGGGCTTCGCGCTCGCTGTAGCTCGCCTTGCTCACAATGGCATCGAAGAGCTCGCCTCCCATACACAGCTCCTGGACCACATAGAAGTAGTCATTGTCCTGGTAGAACCCTTTGATCGTTACCACGTTCGGATGCTGGCGAAGCAGAGACATGATGGACACTTCTCTCTTTCAGAGAAGCACCTCCACAAAGCGTACGTTCAGGGAAACAGTGTCGTCGCCGCTAAGCTGCGATTTGGTGATCACCTTGATCGCCACATCCTCGCCCGTCCGACGATCGACCGCGAGCTTCACAACGCTGTAGGTCCCGCTTCCTAACGTTGCCTTCATTTTGTACATGCTGTTGATGTCTGCTCGCACGGCACTGGCGTTCGCCTTGACGCCTGTGTTGTTCTCGTCTAGAGAGAAGAAGAAGCGTTGCCACATCCATACCCTCATCTTCGTCAACGACAAAGTGGAACAGTTCTAAAACGCTGTTAACATAACTATCCATCTGCTCAGAGAAAAGATCCAGCTTGGTTTCGCGCACCTTGTTTATGGCTTCTGCAACACTGCGTATCAAATCAACACAACAGCGGGACTATTGGTACTGAATACGCGCCTTCGAGGAGGGAAGATCCATTGCGATCGTTTCGATTTCTCGAAGAAACGCACGGAGATCCTTGACATTGTCGCAGAGCTCCATTCGCTTTAAGATGAATCCAAGCTGTGGATCCACCTCATCCTACGATCTAAGAGAAACAAGTGGCACGCACAGCAATCTCTCCTGAGATTGGACTATTTGTCGATCCATTTTCGTTTTGAAAATACAACGTCTTAGCATCCTCAATCGCTGCCTTCCATGACTTTAACTCTAGTACAGTTTCAAAGGCAAACCAATGCACTTTCTTGTTTGTCTAGATGTGAGATCAACGTTGCAGAGGAGGTACGAGCGTTATCATCAGACACTGTGGCTTTTCAACGCTATACTCACAATCTTCGATGGAGGCAATGTCCTTCAGAGGAATATAACCATCGCATACATCCCCCTCGTCAACATACCACTTTATCTCATTCTCTCGAAGCTCCAAAAACCGTCTCGCCCATTTCTTCCTAAAAGTTGACTAGATGGTAGGATGATACGTGCGCCTACCTGCTTCTCAAGATATCCACTTTTTAAGAGCTTATTCGTCATCCTCAAAGTAAAAAATGAAGAAAAACCTACAAAATCTAGCTGAGGAATTGTTACTTTTCTCTTTTGCATCTCAATAAACCCTCTTCGTCACATTCAATGGCTTGCAATCGATTAATAGAACAAACAGTTCTCCAAATCCTTTACAATTTCGCCGATAACTTCCGAATCTTCATTTCTAAATCTGTATTGCTTATAGGAGACAAATAGGAGTAAAAAGGGTTCATAATAAACTAGATTCATAGAAGGAATGAAGTAGAATACACTTTTGTACAATTCAAAAACTCCCTGGAAAAAAACTCGTATTTTCTCTTCGCTCTCATTACGGTGGAGAAGGAGGAAGGTGATATTTTCAATATGAAGGATCCAAAACACTACTCGTCTTCAGGATATTTCCAGGTGTTAAATATGCGGAGACAAAATATCCATTCGATTTGTCTACAACTTTCAAATACCTAGACCTTATGATATAGAACAGCTTGTACTGTGCATTGGTTGTTTTCCGTTTTTCGTCAATCATATCTAGCGAAGAGTACAATATAAACTCAGAGAGGTGGGGCGTGGTTTCTTGCTATTCCATTACAATGGAGTGGCTTCATTACGTTATCTCTCCCAACAGCAATGGAAAGTAATGGGTTGTCATTTCCAAATATTACAAAACGAACTGGGTTTGCCATAAGTTACAAAAAAAGAATAAATGAATATGAAAACCCTTGTTTCTAACACTATTTCAATTCTTAACTCATTCTTGCTCATATTTCTCAATCATGGGAAATGATGGAGGTACAGTAGCCACACAACGCAAGTATTCTAGATGGGCGACAAAGAAGGAAGAAGCTCACGTAGATTCCGAAGAAGTCATTCAAGCAAAGTGGTCTACGTGTGCCCTATCCGGAGAGCCTCTTCAAGAGCCTGTTTGGCCCTTCTTTTGCACTAACATGTAGATTTGCTCATGCGAATTGGGGTATTTGTTTAACCGCATAGCTCTTATTCAGGCACTTCTTGATAAAAGCCTTCCTCCCACGTTTTCGTATATTCGAAAAATGAAGGATGTTGTAGACTTACATTTTACTGCTAATCCAGACTACACATCGAAATATGTTGGGGACTCCGGTGATTATTGGCAACAAGATATTCTTGGCGGAAAGTATATCTGCCCGATTACAAAGGAGGCCATTGGAGGAAAAACAAAGTAGGAAATCGGAAAGGTTGACGATTGAAAGGTTTTGTTATCTGCGGACCTGTGGTTGCGTGCAAGCCTTGAGCGTCTTGAAGGAAATCCCATCCGATAAGTGTTTGGTGTGTGACAAGCCGTTCACTGAGGATGACGTAATTGTGATCAATGGGAAGTATGGGAGCTGTTTTGCTGTTAATTCACAGTGAGAAGGAAAGAGAGGAGCTGCGGAGGAGGATGGAGCTTCGCCGCTCAAAAGAAAAAAAGACGGTTTCATTTTCAAATTCTAGGTTATTTGTAGAAGAAGCATCATCATTCCACCGAAAAAAAGGAAAAGCTGGAAAAGAAGGATCCATAAGATTTCTTTCAATGTGTTTTTTGTCTATTTCCTTTTGTTTTCAAATATAATTTCTTCCATCTTTCTCTCTGATTGCCAATTCTTAAGTATGCATGGGTTGAAAATGATAGCACAAATTTTTTGTTCTTAAATCTTATTGGGGAACAATACTTTTCGTTACATTTCATGGTCATTCTCATGACCTTTCAAATATTTATTTAACGATGCGCGGTGTTGTCATTTCCCTCTTCGCTCTTTGTGTGGTTGTTGGTTCCCAGGTTCCGATCAGTGCTCTGCTGAAGCAGCCTTTCCTTAATCAGAAGCATACTCTGAGAAATAATAATGATATCTGGTCTAATTCCGGAGATAGTAGGATCTCTCTTTTTGCTTCATTTTAGTGTGCGGAACATATCAGGGACAATGTGTTTCGACTGAGTTTATAAGTAGGTTTCTTGAAGGGTCATCATTTGTAGGTAATAGAAACGATGTTCGCTTTGATGGCATTCCTCAACAAGTGCCATCTTCTCTCTTCATGTTCTCGGAAATGTTTGTGGGTAGCGAATGTACTCCTAGCATGAGCATGATGAAGATCACTATGAAGACTGATATCCAGAGTCAAGAAGGCAGTATTATGCATGTTTTTGTGAATGATGTTACTGTCATTCTGCAAGAAATGTATATTTCGCAACTTACCTGTGAATCTGCTGTGGAAGCTGGAAAGGAGTATTCGGTTAAGGACCTGCATTGTACCGATTATACTGGTGAAGATCCTTTTAAGGATATCACCCCGATTGTTGGTACTGCCCAGGAATTGCCTGTCGAATTCACTGAAAGTGAGGTAACTGTTGGAGAGGACTCGATGACACGTACCTCTTCTGAAGGATGCTCTACTGAGGTTCCCACTACTGATGCTCCTACCGAGGCTCCTACCACCGTGGCTCCCACTACTGAAGCGCCTACCACTGCTGCTCCCACTACTGTGGCTCCCACTACTGCTGCTCCTACTACCGTGGCTCCTACCACGGAAGCTCCCACGACTGCTGCTCCCACTACTGTGGCTCCTACTACCGTGGTTCCCACTACCGAGGCTCCCACTGAAGCCCCCACGACTGTGGCTCCCACTGAAGCCCCCACTACCGCTGCTCCCACTACCGTAGCCCCTACTGAAGCCCCCACCACTGTGGCTCCCACCGCAGTTCCCACCACTGTGGCTCCTACTGAAGTTCCCACTGCTACTCCTACTCCTACCCCGAAACCCGATAACTCGAATATTATCATCTGGGTTATTGTCGGTGTCGTGGTAGTCATTGTTGTGGCCGTTTTGGTGTGGTGTACCTGTAAACCCAAAGGTAAGCAGCTTGAGACAACTCCGCTTGTTTAAGAATCGATGTTTGTTTCAGAAAACAGAATACTGAGCAATTTGGATAGATGCCTGAACCTCATCTAGCAGCAGTTTCTTATCTTCCAAACTCAACTCTGCAACCAACGTCAGCACGTTCGCCAGCGTAACCGAATTCTCCCTACAACTCATCAAAACCGTTCTCAGCTACCGAATAAACGTATTGTAGTACATCGAGGTAAAGTACAACATGATGAATTGGCAATCAAATCGATCCATGAGACCTCCATGTCCAGGAATAATAGAGTTGAAGTCCTTCTTTCCATAAGCACGTTTTATCGCAGAAGCAAAGAATCCGCCAAAGGGGGCGACCAATGCAGCAAACAATGCAAGGAAAAACTCGTGAATGTAAATGGGTTCCAAATCAAATCCAGTCCGTCCAAGAATTCCTGCAAGCCACGATGGGAAAGAATAATGGTGCAAGAGATAATAGTTCGGAACAGGACAATTTGGCTTATTGAATGGACAGTACAAATGAGGAACCTTGAAATAATACGCCATGATCTCGCCAATCACTATACTAGCGATTCCACCACCAATAAAGCCCTCCCAACTCTTGTTAGGAGAAAGAGGTGTAAGCGGGTATGGGATAAACCTAGAACGATACGAGTGGAATCGAAGGGCATACTTTCTTCCAAAAGCCATTCCGAAAAAATAAGCCATGGTGTCATTGAAGGCGACAGTCATACACGGAAGAACAACCCAAATGATGCCGTCCATAATCATGGGGACAGCTGCGCGAACTTGATAGATTACGATGATAATTGTTAGCATTGTCCAAGCAATTTGACCTGCGTGGTAAGCAGCTCACAGGATTCAAAACCTACCAATTTGATATTTCAAGTACCCCTTTTTCAGACTTAGAACCAGAATGACGAATAAACTTGAGTAGAGGATCACTGAAATAAACCTATGTTGAAGAAAGAAACAAAAAGAATACGAGTGATACTTCACAACAAATTCAAAATAAGGAATATAATGCATCATTCCAACTGCTGATTGCTTGCCAAAGACAATAAACATAGCCGTCATGAAAATTACCCAGTGAAGAGTTCGGAAATGAGGAATCTCCTTTTCTACAGCTTCTTTGTAGCGCACATTTAACAATTCATAGAAGAGTCCAAACTACACTTAAAGGTCGTGTGGAACCCTACTTGGATAGCCGTAATTAACATAATCACAGGATAGTGACCCATATAGACGATCCCAATAAAGGCAAACAGAATTGCAAATCCAGATATGACTCGTACCAATATAGAACTCCCCTTCTTCTCCTTTGCTAAAGATCAATCGCCAAAAATAACAGGAAAACCGTTAGATGACACAGGTTGCTCAATACTATCAATTTCATCTTCGTCTCTACCATCTGCCGTCATCTCTTGAGGCTCTGATCTCCTCTTACGAAGTTCTTCGGTTTCGGGATTCATTTATTTTTGAATGAATGAAAAAGGGATCCCAAAATTTACGTCATCTGCCTTTGTACAGATATCTCTTTTTCCTATTGACTAGACAATAATAATAAATCATCTCTTTCTCCATATATCACCGGAATCTTGGATATATATACACACAGTATATCTTTAAGCCAGACCCGTAGCATGGAACGATCATCCATTTCATTCTTCAAGTGTTTAAAATATCCTAACTCTTTGTGTTCCTATAATAATAGAATCCAGATAAAATAGAATTATATTTGCTTTAACGTCAAAGAGGTGTCACATTGTTGATAACAGAAATGGAAAAGGATAAAAGCCAGCAAGCAAAAGAGTTATTGAGCTTAATAGATACGCTTTACGACGAAAAGACGCGTCATAAGGGTTTAATAGGTAGGTTTGTTATTCTTATGAGATCAATTCAGATTTGTCTGAGAAGAAAAGTGAGGTGGAGCTGAGGACACTCTGCATTTATAATTCGTTCGGAATCGTGACGATTCTTCAACAAGAAATATTATCGGCTTATAAGTATCTTGACAACAGTAACATGCCCGATGGATTTGAAATTCGCATCTGTAACGCGCTTACGATTTTACGTTCGATTGCTGGGTATAATGAGATTGCCATTAATCTTGCAAGCTGTATATGCGATTGTTGGTGCTCTTAATGTAGCCCATTTGCTTTATTTTATGTGTCCTTTAATCGAGACCAATAATCCGCGTTTCTCCAACATTCGAAAGGTGGGAATCGCTGTGTTTGTAGAAGTTACAAGTGGTAATAAAGACCCTTTTGTAGGTTCTCGCTGCTTTCCTTATTCGTAGATTTACCAAACATTTGTTGATGATGGTATTCTCAATGTGTGCTTAAACGTTATTGAGCGGGTTGATTTGAAAGAAAAAGGCGTACGACTAGTCGTTTCGCGTGTGATGTGTTAGGGAATTATGCTGATGCTCAATAACATTCTTTGCTTTGATATGTCGTTCTGCGAGAAACTGAATAACGTGCTTTGTAGGGTGCATGCTTTTTGTTTGAGGGTAGTGGATAAAATATACAATGCACTTGTGATTTATGAAAACGAGATTAAGAAGTCCCCTCAGGAAACAGCCAAGCTCAAGGATTGCATTGAAAACATACGTCGTTGTATTCACGCGAATGAATATAATGGGTATGCTGCATAAAAATGCTGCAAAATAGATTTCCAAGAGAATAATACTGCTTTTGGATGAAGATCTATGTGTGCTAATTCTCCTCTTTTACTCAATATCCCTTCCGATTTTTATGTTATGTTTGTTCAAAGAACGATGAGGAAGTAGTAGTGATTGTCTGCGGATCGTGTATCAATCAACCGATCAATGTATCAATGAATCAATGAATCAATTATCCATCTATCTATCTATCCATTCATTCATTCAAACAAACAAAAAAGCAGAATATGATTCTACCAATATATAATATTCAAGTGTTGACGAGATCTATACTGGGATACAGCAAAGTATCATACCAAACACCGAATTACAATGCAAACCCATCCAAATAGACTCGACAACAACCTCTTTCATCTAGTCACTTTTATGACCATTCAGTTTTATAAACTTCTTAAATTGATTATTTACCCATGCAACCAGTTTATCCATACCACTTTCAAACTGGGATTCTTTGTCGAAAAACACAACATAGTAACAAGCAGCCACTTCAATATAACCAAAGAAGGGAATAAGGTTAAGCAGCTTCGAATAAAAAGTAATGATAGAAAAACATAGCCAGTAATAGACCCACTTTTTCTCATGCTGTTTGTTGAGGATATCGTGGAGGAAGGCCCAAACTATCGGCAAAATCAATATTGCCACGAATAAAACACTCTTTCCAAGAGATATTAGCAAACTTATCAAAAAGAGACCAGCGATAGCCATTAACAAATAATGAGCAGGGATATGAGTAGCGCTCTCGATTTTTAACACGTATTCTATTCAATAATCCTATAACTAGAAGTGTACCATTCTTGGGAACGATTCGCTTAAAGAACTCTTCTACCTTCGAGTAGGCATTTAATACAGTATCTTTTACCCCCAGCATTGCGGAAACACAGAAAATGCGCAAATAAATATTACACAAATACCCGTGATTCTAAAGAAATCAGGTCAATTTGAATATCATTGGACCCACCCTAATATGGTGCTTCGTTAAGAGCGAAGTCATTGAATCCTGATGGAATCGGAAGAGTGGTACTATGTTCTCAACGGAGAACAGGTATTGATTGCTATGAGGGTTGAGAGCTAGAAAGGACCCATCTCATTTGCCACGCTTCAAAAAGAATGGAATCAAGTACCTTCGGATCTATATAAAAATGTATAGAATATCGTAACTAAAGACACATTTGTGTGGTGTTCTTTGATGGATAATTGGAAAACGGTTCAAGATTATCCTGAGCTCAAGTCGAAGCTATCTCCATCAAAGAGCGTTTTTTTATAAATATCAGGTGACATTTTTAGGCACCTCCCCCTATTCCAGTACGAGCGAGTGGGTCTCCTGCAGTTTCTCAAAGCGAAACTGTTAGAATCTGAACCTTTTCTCATGTTTAGTCTGATAAACGGATCTCGGCTAATTTGCTCAAAGAAATACAAAATTCAAGAAATCATCCAGTTCTTCGCCATGTTTCTGCTGAGCATGACGATGCTCGCAGCTCTTATTCTCCCTCAGTTTCCACTTTGCGTGCTGACGGAGCAAAGGGAAGCACGTTTAACACGTCTACCATGCGTGCTTCCGCGATATTGACGAACTCTCGTCCATCATCTGCTTCGACTGCGAACTTTTCGTATGCTACCTTGCATAGAGTAATTTTTGCTCGTACTGTTGAATCCTAGCCTTCTTCTCCTACGAGTTCACCACGTAATACAGCAAATCCTTCTGGATCTGGATCTGGTTCTGGCGTTTTGCAGTCTTCTTCTATGTTCTCTTCTCAACCAGCAACCCGGGCTTCTCTGAAGCCTTCCATTCCTTCCTCCAGACCAGCCAACTCCTCACCCAAGCCCTCCGATCTTGCTTCTTCCAAACCAGCCAACTCCTCACCCAAGCCCTCCGATCTCTTTTCCTCCAAACCCGTCAAACCCTCTCCATCACCCTCCACTTCCTTCAAATCTTCAAGCAAACCGACTCGTTCGGTCCTGTCTGGAGGCGGCTGGGAGGAGCGATACACAGCGGATGATGTGCCGTACTACTATCACAAAGAAACAGATTCCCTGTCGTGGGATAAGCCGGAGTGTCTCCTAACCGAAGCCGAAAAGGCGGAGGGCCGTCGCCAGTGGGTGTGGATAGCCGACGAGGCCGAAGGCTGGGTTCCAGTGTGCGTGGTAATGGATGGAGCGTCTGTGCATTGTAGGAATCTGCCAAGGGCTCCACCATCACGGGACGGCGCGAAGATGGCACGATCGTAACTTCCAAGCAGAATGGGGGGACTGTACAATGGTCTTCTCTGCGTGAACTGCCCGATGACGTGGTCCTTCTCGAAGATTGCAACGAACCCTCCATTCTGTACACAGTGCGGTAGACTTTTTCCTTCTGGCCACTGATTCATAGAAAGCGATACATGGAAGGCAAAATCTATACCTGGGTGGGAAGCAACAAGACCATTCTCCTCTCGGTCAACCCCTTCCAGAACCTGCCTCTCTACTCCCCCGAGCAAATCTCCCTCCACGCCAACCCTCCTCCCAACCGATTACTGCCTCCCCATGTGTACGACATCGCCTATTCGGCCTTTCAGGAAATGTCTGTGGACGGCACCGACCAATCCATCTTGATTTCCGGCGAGTCTGGAGCCGGCAAAACCGAAGCGACCAAGCAATGTCTGGGATTCATAGCCGAGGTACGGAGGAAGCAGCGAAGCAGTGAAGCGTAGGTCGCCGGATCCGATTCGTCGCTGGAGCAGAAAGTTCTGCAGACCAATCCCGTTCTGGAAGCCTTCGGCAACGCCAAGACCGTGCGGAACAACAACTCCTCTCGCTTTGGAAAATGGATCGAGGTGCATTTCAGCAACCGTAATCACGTGTGCGGAGCTTCGATCGAGTGCTATCTTCTGGAGAAGAGCCGAGTGGTGGACCAACAAAAGGGCGAGCGAAACTTCCACATCTTCTATCAGTTGCTGTCTTCTCCCGACCTGTGTCGGGCGTACAACCTCACTTCCGCGGCCGATTATCGGTATCTCACAGCAGGACAGTGTCTGGAAGTCGAGGGAATGGACGACAAAGCCAACTTCTTGGAGGTCTTGAACTCGTTCGAGTCCCTCGGATTTTCGCAGGAAGATCGCGAATCCGTTCTCAGTCTCTTGGCTGCCATTTTAAAGCTCGGCAATATCAAGTACGAGGAGACCGGAGGCGCGTCGCTCCATCCTGGATCCAGCATTTCGAACGAAGATGTGTTGTGCGAGGCGGCGACTCTCCTCCAAATCCCTGCCAACTCCTTAAAGGAAGCTATTTGCACGCGCCGAATCACCGTGAAAGAGGGAAACGGAGTAAATGTGACGATCATTCCGCTGAGTTGCCGTGAAGCCATTCAAAACTGCGACGCGCTGGCCAAGGAATTGTATTCGCGCCTGTTCGACTGGATTGTGTGGACGGATTCGAGCGATGAATCGTAGGTGGAGAAGATTAATCTGTCGCTTCGAGGCGAGCGGAACAAGTTCATCGGCTTTTTGGACATTTTTGGCTTTGAGATCTTCGAGAAGAACAGCTTTGAGCAGCTTTGCATCAACTATGCAAACGAACGACTGCAGCAACTGTTCAACAGCAGTACGTTCAAAGAGGAAGAGACCGTGTATCGAAACGAAGGCGTGGAGTTCCAACATGTCGACTTTATCGATAACAGCGAAGTCTTGGATATGTTGGAGAACCGATTTGGAGGGCTTTTCTGCGCCATTGACGATCAAGTCAAGATCCGAGGCGGAACCGACGAAAATCTTATGAAGGCGGTGCGTTTCGGGTAGGAGGGTGAGCTGTAGATTCGGAATACCCTCACAAAGTACTCGTGTTTCGATGGGAATTGTCGCTCGCCTTTGGAGTTCGGCGTTTGCCACTATGCGGGAAAGGTGACGTACACGATTACCGGCTTCACGGACAAAAACAGAGACCGAATCTTTGACTATTTGTTGCTTTGCCGCTCGTCGCTGACGTGTGTAGATATGAGCTGGTTTCCTCCTCCTCCTCGCCTTTCATCGCATCGCTCTTCCCTCCTCTGTCCTCATCGACAATGCGCACGACCGTCTGCAGCAAGTTCCAAAAGCAGCTGAAGGATCTGCTCACGATCCTGCAGGCTTCCCAGCGGAAATACATCCGTTGCGTGAAGCCCAACGATAAGAAGCGGCCTCGACTCTTCGACTGCGTTCACTCCTTGGAACAGCTTCGCTACAGCGGCGTTTTCGAGGCTGTGAAGATCCGAAAGGAGGGCTATCCCTTCCGCTACAGCCACCAGCAATTCGTCCATCGCTATCGCTGTCTCCCGATGACCAAAGGAATCTCCGTCTCTTCCGATGTTCGACAGGCGATCCAAGACGTCATCCGCTCGCGTCCCGAGTGCAAAGATCGCATCTACGTCGGGAGATCGCTGGTGTTGTACCGAGCCCCGGAGCACCGTATTCTGGAACTGGCGCGTAATTTGGGTAATCGCTGATTCTCATCTTCACTCTCTAGCCTTGGACGATTTGCTTCCGTCTCTCCAGAGCATGATCAAGTGCAAGAGCGTGATGGTCGGCCTCCCGCTCTACAGCCAAGTGCAAGACGTGCTGACCGTACTCTCTTTTTTTTCCAGTTTGACTGACGCCTAGAAAGCGCTTCAAACGCGATCGCTGAGCGCCATCGACGAGGCTCTTCACTCCGTCGAGTCCTCCATCGCCACCGTTCAGCAGCTGCTTCATTGCTCGATTCCCGTGGTCCGTCAAGCTCAGGGCGCTGCCGCCTTCCTGCAAAAGATCGAATCGCTGGAAGGCCAAGTGCGAAGCCTTCTCGAAGGACCGATCCTCCAGAATCTTCCCGTCTCTCTCTTTCTCCTTTCCTTCACTTCCAGACCTTGCTGGCCGCTGTCGAAGAGTTGGAGTCGCAGCCCTCGCTCCTCCCTCCTCGCATTCAGGAGCTCACCGTCGAGGCTCGAGCTCGTGTCCAGCAGTTCGCAGCCTCGTTGATCGAGCCGGACGTAAGGAATGGACGATCGAGTTCACTTGAAGCTTCGCGAGGCGCTCTACACGCTGGAACGCGCGCAGATCGAGCGGCTGGTGGAGCAGGCGAAGCGACTCAATTACTCGTCGGAGACAGTGGCGGAGGGAAAGCGGCTGCTGGCTTTGCAGGACGAAGAATTCTTCGAGTTGGAGATCCAGAGAGCGGAGGAATTGGGAGTAGGCGAGGCAGAGAGGAATGAGGCCAAGGATATCTCGAGGTTGGTGGACCGTAAGATCAAGCTGCGCGATCTGCTGCTGAAGAAGCAGGAGGACAAGTTCGTCTTCGAGAAATACCCGAAGCTGAAAACGCGCGAAGACTACGCGAGCTACAAAATCTTCACGGTGAATCGGCGATGGTGGAGAGAAACGGCCTACTCGTTCATCACGCTGGCGATCCCGACGTGCCTTACAACGCTCTCGAAGGACGCAGACAAGCACGGCATTCTGCTGTTCAAAACGATCCAAGGGTACATGAAGGATCGCAAGTATCTTCTTCTCTCCCTTCTGCCTATCGCTGTGTAGATACAACATGGACGGCTTCCAGCTCGCCTTCGAGATCCTGAAAATCCTCAACAAAACCAACGCGACGCCGGGTCTTCGCACGGAGGTTTACTGCCAGCTCATCAAGCAGCTCACGGGCAACCCGAGCGAGATGAGCGTGTCTCTCGGCTGGGAGCTCATGGCGATTCTTCTGTACTACGTCCTTCCCGAAGAGGATTTCATTAACTATCTCATCGTCTTCCTCTGGAACCACGCGCCCACTCCCGACAAGTCGTTTTCCAAATCGTTTTCTCCTCTAGATTCGTCAAGGTCCTCAACAACAGCTATTATTCCTCCAAGTACAAGCGCGACAGTCACTACCAAGCCGGCTATCGCACGCCTCCGCGCGCCGCTTCGGAGATCAGCGAGTTTTTGCAGGACTTCTCCACCGATTCTCGCCGCTACAGCATCGAGAACAAGCTCTCTTCCTACAACGCCACCGCGAAGCTCACCTTCTCCAACAGCAGTCAAGAAGGCAGAGCCACGACCCTCGCCAAAGCCTCCAAATCGCCCAAATCGTCCGGCTTGGGGCTGCGGAACGGCGGAGCTCCGGCCTGTCCTGCGCCGTTGCCGCCGACGATGCGAAAGGCTCCGGCGAAGGAGACGGCGATCGTTTTGTATGATATTACGCTGGAAATCAACCCGAACGTGTTGGAATGCAAGGAGGGAGATCGGATTGTGATCGAGGAGGATTTCGGGGATTGGATCCGCGCGACGATGAACGGAAAGGAAGGATTTGTACCTTATAACTACATTGAGCGAGTTCGGAATTGAAAGCGTGGTACTAGGGTCTGTAACCATGAATATTAATTTGGTGTGTAACACAGTAGGATCCAGGAAGCTATCTAAGGTAAAACCCTACAGCTGTATTTCTGTTTGTTAAAAAGGAGTTTTATAGTTATGACATTCTAGTTATTATTATTCCAAAATGATTATCTGGGTACCCATATGGTTTACAATTGTTATTCTGGTGACGACCTTGAACAAGACGCTGTTCACTTCGTTAAAGTGCCCATATCCCCTTTCTATCACTATGGTTCACGTTATTCCTGTATTTAATCCTCAGATCCACATGCTTTCATGTGCCGTATACTCCACTCTAATGAAGTACACCGCGCCCAACTTTTTCAAGTATCGTCCACTGAAGGAGGGAGAACTGCGGAATTTGATCTTAGTTAGCGTCATTTTCATCGTTAACATTGCCCTTTCAAACTCTTCACTCAAGTTTAACTCTCTTGCTTTGGATCAAGTATTCTCTTTTATTTTTTCTTTCTGAATCCAGATGTTCCGCTGTGCTATGCCGGTTTTCACTTGTGTACTGGAGTTTATCATCTATGGCAAAGTCCGTTCTCTTTTAGTCTACCTCTCTCTGATCCCTGTAATTCTTGGAACCATGTTGGTGTGCCTTGGTGATGTTGTCTAGCGGGTCTGTGGTAATCGGTAGATTCAGGGTACCATTTTTGGAATTGTTCTCCTGTTCATCAGTTGTACCGTCTCTTCTCTGAAGGGAATCATCACCAAATACCTTCTTTCGGGAGAAGAGCCGATCAGCACATTTCAGCTTCTGAACTACGTTCGTGGCCTCTTTCCCTGCTTCCTTTTAGAACAGCATGTTCGCTTTTTGTGAAATCTTCCCCGTTACTCTCATCAATGACCGCACTTTTTACACATCCTGGCTTCCATCGTACATCCTCTCCGCTTGTTTTTATTGACTCTAGCGCCCCTGTGACCAGTCTCCTGATCCTGGTAGTGCACGGCATGCTGGCGTTCGCGTTGAATATCGCGAACTTTAATGCGGTGAAGGAGGGCGGACCCTTGATGATGAACGTTGTGGGCAATGTCAAGCAGGTCGTTATGATTCTGCTTTCTGTGTTCATGTTTGGAAATAAAATCAAGCCGATCGGCATTTTTGGAAGTGTTGTCTGTATTTTGGGAAGCATGTGGTATTCATTCGGTGGGTCAGTGGAAAATCGAATAATGGATAGAAACTATGAAGTCGAACAAGGTGGAGAGTGCTGTGAAGGAGGAAGAGAAGGCCAAGCTCCTTGAACAAAAGGAATCTGTCTAGGATTGTTTGTTGAACATGCTTTGTGTGCGGCGGATGTTTGGCTCCGCGTCTGCGTACCCATTCGCTGAGCTTTGTGCGCAGTTGCAGAGGATTCGTCTCACATCGTCAACGAATGATCGTCTCTCTATTTTACAGTCAATTGTGGCGGAGACATCCACTCTAGGTACCAAGAGCGTGACGGACACGATGGAGCTCATTTCGGGTGATGTGTTCTCCCTAAGGATTTTTAATGTAGATTCTTAATGCAGATGGAGAGAGTGTGAACTTCCGGATTTCCGATACCACGATGAACCATTGTTTGCAAAAGTATTATAAAGTGGATGCAGCTACCTGCAAACAGTTAAGGCAGAGCAAGGGTGGACTACCAGAGGCATGCCGGTTTTTGTTTGACGAAAAGCAGCGGCAAAAACAACAGCAGCAGCAACAAAAGCAACAGGAGAAGGAGAAGGAGAACAAGAATATGAACGACTTCCCAAGCCAGGCATCAAAGCCTCTAAGCGTTGAAGATTTAAAAACGTATTTCACTAGAAGCGAGTTGTATGTAGCGAGCTCGTTTTGCTCTCTCAGGAAAACGGGAAGGGGAGTCGCGAGCGTATTTTTCAGCACGTTCTCTCTCTTTGGGATCGTTGCTCCTCTCCAATCGAGGCGTACTATACAAGAAAGCCTTGGCTTTTGTTCTGATTTGTAGCCCACTTTATTCTCCGAAATCGAGGAGTAGGCATCGGAAAGAATTCGATATGCAAAGCTCTGATCAAACAATACGTTGATCCTTCGCCGCCTCTCCTCTCTGCCATTCAATCGGCGTATCACAACAATCCTCACCTTCCCTCCTTTGTTTCCTTCCTTTCCACGCTCTCTTCATCCTCGCAAATCTCGCCTTCCACCATTCCATCCTTGTATCCCATTCGACCAGGATCCTTCTGCGACGTCGCTCTTTGCTCCCCGCTCTCCTCCTTGACAGCCGCGCAGTCCCTTATTTCACAATCTCACTACATCGTTGAGGAGAAATACGACGGAGTCCGCGTCCAAATCCACTGGGACTCTCAGCGATTGCTCGTTTTCGGGCGTTCTGGCGAGGTTTTCATGCTGTCAGCAGCATGACGCGTAGCGTCTTCGCTCTCTCGAGCCCATAATCGAAAGCGCTCTGCACGATCGTCGCACTGAATTAGGGAGCTTTATCGTCGATGGCGAGTTCGAGGTGAAATCGCGTGACGGATCGCTCTTGCCGTTTAACGATGTGATGACGTGGCTCGGAAAACCCGGCAAAACATTTCCGAAAGAGTCGATCCTGAGGATCTTTGCCATATAGAAAGGGCGAATCAATGAGTCTGAAGCTGTTCGACGTTCTTTATCTTCACAACCAAATGATCACTCTCTCTCCGCTCTCTGAGAGAAAACGCCTTCTTTTGCAGAGCTTCAGCGGCCTCGAAGCCGCTGGGATCGAAGTGATTCCCTTCACGGAAAGCGCTTCCTCTCTCGAAGATCGCATTCGACAGAGTTTAGAACATGGCTGCGAGGGCTTAGTGCTGAAACAACGCGACAGCGTCTATGGCTGCGGCCAGCGAACGAGTGCTGCTTCGATGACTCTCTCATGTAGAGGACTGGGTGAAGCTGAAAGCAGACTATCTGGACAGTTTTGGCGACTCGGTCGATGTGGTGATCATCGGAGGAAACGCTGGGAGAGGAGCGCGCAAAGGGAACTTTGGATCGTTTTTATGCGCGGCTCGGTCGTCTGATAAAGAAGATCGGCTTCGGCCGATTTGCTTTGTTGGGAGCGGATTCAGCGCGAAGGATCTGCGCTTCCTCTCTGAAGAAATCAATCGACATGCTGTTTCGCGCGAGACTTGCATGCGTAGATGCAGATGCAGATAACGAATCATACATAGAAACGTGCGATCTGCCTCCTGGAATCAAGGCGGATGTGTACTGCGAACCAATGGTGGTTATTGAGGTGAAGGCTGCGCAGCGAACGCAGTCTGACTTGTACGGAGGATGGAGTTTGCGCTTTCCTCGATTTATCCGGAGGAGAGAAGACAAGAAGGTCTCGGATGCTTCTGTAATGTGGAGTGTTTGTTACTATGCATTCGAAGAGTATGGAATGTGTTTGGTTCATCGTTTTTATTCATTAAAATCAACAACAACAAAAGCTGGAAACCAATGTTCTTACAGGATATGCATGAGATAATACGCATATCCTTTATTTTTTTGCTCAATCACTGCACAAAAAGAAAATGTATTGGATTTTGGTAAAACAAAGTAATGGTGGAAATCACGTTACGAAATCATGGATGATAACAACCACCGCTATTTTAATAAATATTCCATTTGAAATCACAAAACAATCGTCCTATTCATTTCAAAAACTACAAATATGAAAAATAGCTCATTCTTTGAAAATTCCGATTATCGGGCGAAAACCTAAACCTATTCGACAAAGCGGATGAGCCCGATCCTTTCATTGATTAGAGATGCTGTGTCCTCCGTCGAGAATTTGGACACAGTGATTGAATCATTTAGAAAGGGATATGTAGATGATGTACAAATCATGATAATAATTGAAATATAGACAGAGTCAACAGAGGCTATACTATCCGATTATTCTTCTCTCCTTAAAGTTTTGAATGAGTTGAAACGCAGTAAAGCACTGTACATTTTTATGTCAATATGTGAGACAAATAGGAAATCATCGGAATTATCATCTTTCTGGGAAACTTTTGATTCCAATTTGGAAGGATACTCATTTTCGGGCGTGGAAGGTTTATTCTCCATCCTCTATTTTGTTTTAATATCGAAAGAGAAATATTCGATCGAAATCCCCTTGCTTTGTGCTGAGCTGTAATTTGTATCGCTGGGTTGTTTATTTGGTAGATATTTGCGAATTCTCCAAATCCCTGGAGCGTATGGGCATGGCATGCTACGCTGTAGTCTTTTTCAAGTCACAGTGTCTGCTATCGTTCGTTCCGTGAATAACGATGACCTTCTTCACATCGATACAGAAGTATGCTGCCTTTCTCGTGGATCCAGCATAGTATCAACCGGAATCGCCTGCTCTGGTTTCTCTTCTCATCGACACATTCTCGATCCTCGACGACATGACAGTAAAGTTCGTCTGGAGCGAGCTCTGCGCTCTGTGCTACGAGTGCTGCCTCTCAGCGGCCCAATCCTCGAGCGTCTCGGTCCTCTTCACAAAGCTCATCGATTTCTCCATTCAAAACGAACTCAACGAGCGCATGGGCGAGCTGCTCCGCGCTCTCCTCCCCGTCTTCTCTCTCTACGCCGAAGGCAAGCGAATGGACGAAAAACCGGTCCGGTCAAGCCAGAAGACGCTCCTCCGCCTCTTTTCGAGCTACCAATCGGCCGCGTTGACCAATCCGCGCTTTGCGTTGATCCAGCGACTCATCATCAACACGCCGGATCGCGTGGATGACCGCACCAACACCATCGACTGCCTTCTGCAGCTGCTCTTAGCGCTCACCGAGACGGAGAAGCAGCGAGTGAATCGCTGGATTAGCGCGTGCTCGCGCTGTGGGATCGCAAATATTCGAATGTGTGCTGTGTGTCTGTCTCGCGCGCTGTTGATGTCTCGCTACGTCGCAGACTCGATCGAAGCGCAGAGCAAAGAAAAAGTTTCCGCAGCCTCCGCAGCAGTCGAGAAAGCTGAGAAAGCCGAAGATAGTGAGGACAAGATCGAGGAAACGGGAGAAAACGTGGAAGAAAGCGACGAAATGGAAGTGGAGAGAACCGTTTTGGAATGCGAGTTGTTCTTCGACGAGAAGCCGCTTTATTGGATGTTTTTCGAATTGATTTTGAATCGATGCAACGACATTGTGATTTCCATTCGATCCGAAGCGATTCATGTAGCTCAAGCAGCGTGATTTCATTGTAGTCGTTGGGATTGCTCTTCGATTTTCTGAACCAAAATCCCGATTCATCGCTTCGAAGTGTTCTCGACGAATCCACGTGCAAGCGAATTCTTACCATTCTAACAGATCGAATCTACGACTCGGCGGTCATCGTTCGCAAAAACGCCCTCACGACTTATTCCAGCTGCGTAGTGAATCACACCATGCAGCATTATCTCAACAGCGACGATTTGCTCCAGATTCTGAGCAATCTTCTCCAAGACTCCGCAGGTTTTTTTCTCTCCCTTCGCTCTCTATTCGCATAGTTTCGGTGCGTCGATCAGCGTTAGCGTTGTATTATCGCGTGTTGGATTCCAGTCCTCACTTGCTCCATCTGTTCTTCTCGGTGTCGTTGAGCATGTTCGAAAACACATCGAATACCGATCTGCTCATCACCAAGAACGTGCAGAAACACGTGTTCGATGCCATTATCGCCTGGAGAACGTCGCATTCCTCGCTCTCCGGTTGGATTTGTCTCGAGTTTCTGAACCCTGGCAGCATTTCCGTTTTTGAAGTCTTGATTTTGCTCCTTTTCTCACGCGCAGACGATTATGAAACTCCTTCTCGACCGAAACTCCCTCCATTTGGGCAGTCTGATGCACTCGTGTATCGCAGCGATCGAGTGGTGTCAGAGCAGCCAGATCCCAGAGCCCGAGTTGATTTCGATGCGCGAGAAGGTTCCTCACTTGGAAGAAAACGCGTGGATGCTTCTGAGTCTTCTCTCGAAAGTTCGCAGCGAGGCTTGGCTTTGATTTGCAGTACTATCAGCGAATGAACGTGGAGTTCGTCAAGCAGCAGCTGCAGCAGTTGCTGGCGAACACGGGCGCGTCGAATCGCGTCGTTCGAGACAAGTTTTTGATCCAGACCGCGATGAACGTGGTGGATCGATTCGATAAGGAGTCGCGTAGGTTGCGTTGCGTTGGATTGACGATTAGTGAAGCAGCTCTACGTGCAGATCGTAAAGGAATTGTTCAAACTCGCGATGCCGCTCGATTGCATTCACTCCTACCTTCGACTCTATCTTTTTCTGTTGAAAACGCTATACTCCGAGTTCGCTTTCCTTCCTTTTCATTCACTTTTGCAGCGTTCGCACCATCCAAAAAGCAGTCAATTCCTTCGTGTCGCGCTTAGAGCGCAAAACGAACCGCATTCTCCGCGCCTTCATCTTCAAATCGGGCGGCAAAATGGACCGTTTCCCCGAATCGCAAGCCCTTCCCTCCAAATCCCAAGACGATCACGTGCCTCTTACGCCTGTGGAGGACGCGGATCCGGACGGAATGGAGGTGACCGCGCTGCACGGCGATTGCACGATGCTGGCGGACGACTCGGACTTCGCCTGGCTGTTTCCCTGGATTTTTATCGTGGGCGAACTGAGCGTTTTGGGATTGGAAGAGAGCGACGAAGGCGTTCTGAGCAAAATCCGCGCGAAGAGTCGAGTTCGAAGAAGCGGATGACTGTGTAGTCAGCACGAAGACCGTCGCGTTGCTGCAATCGCTAACGACGTATTCGCTCCCGACGGTGAATTCGCAGCAAGCCACGATCGTGATTCCGCCGTGCATATCCCATTTTGGACTTTTTGGTTGTTGTGTTTTTTTAACGGAAGATCCGCGCGCATGCGATGATCAGCTTCGGAAAGGTCTGCATCACGTCGGGTTCTCTCGCAAAACGCCACCTCCCCGTTTGGAAATCGCAGAGAATGCGAGTTGTAGATGTTTATTCGCGAGTTGGAAGTGAGTCAAGACTCCGTGATTCGGAACAATATCATCATTATCATCGGAGATATTTGCACGAAGTTTGTAGTTTATCGATTTTGCCATGCAGACACACGTCCGTCGTCGAGCAATATCTGCCGACCATCGCGAATTGCATGGTCGATATGGACGTGACTGTCCGCATTCACGCGCTCAGCATCATTTCCAAGCTGCTCCTCGTAGGACGATGTAAAAGAATTTGTGAAGTATAGGAAGACTTCATTAAGCTGAAGCCTGTCCTGCTTTGCTGCATTCTGGCCGCACTGAACGACGCCGATTCCTCCATCGCCGCGTTCGCCTACCAGCTCGTCACGCAGCAGATTTTCCGGAAGTTCCCCAAGATCTTTGTGTCCACGTTCGTGGAGATCATGAGCATTCTCAACGAATATCTCGAAGGCAACCTCGTCAAGCGCGAGTTCGGAGCCAACTTGGTGGATATTCATTTGGGAGGCGGCGATCGCAAGCACGTCAAGTGAGTTTTGCTCGTTCTTTTCCTCACTCGCAGCGCGCGTCGTCGCATCTACCGCATTCTTTTAGAGCTGTTCGATGACGAATCGAAGCTGCAGGTGAGCTGCAAGCTCTGCCAGAACATTCTGGGTCCTTTGGTGGATCAGGACGAGCTGGCCAACATCGGCACTCATCCCGATTCGCCGTCGTTGAATCTCATCAAAGACACGTTCGCTGTACTCTGCTCGAAAGAGCTGAAGGTGGGATCGAGAACGCGCGGAGAGGACGAAGAGCTGCCGGCAGAGATTTTGGAATCAAAGAAAACGGTTCTGAGCAAAGTGAGGATTCGGAAAAGAAGGGAGTGATGGATAGTTGGAAAAGCGTACGGTGCTGGAGCAAATCCTTCCTTTGCTGATTAGTTTAAAGGTCCAATTGGAGCAGAAGCGAAGTGTTCTTCTCCGCGATTTGATGGTCTATTTCAAAGTGATTATGGTGAACTTTAAAAGCGAAATGGAGCAAGTGCTTGCCGATAATCCACGTCTGAAGCGAGAAATCGAGTACGACTTGCGCCACCTCGATTCGGTCGAAGCGGTTTGCTTTCTCTCCGCTGACCATCACGCGTAGAATCAAGCCACGCCGCAGATCGAAGCAGTGAACCGCTCGATCAACACCCTCGCGACTCCGCTCATCAACCGCACGGAGCAGCGGACAGAACTCAATGCCACGCCCAAACTGAAAGCAAATCGGTGCGTGTGGAACGAAGGAATGACGAGTAGAAGAGATTCGCTAGGCAGTGTGCAAGAGAAGGAACCTGCGATCGAGAAGACGAGCTCGTTGGAGATTCATCTGTCGCTGGATGCCGAGAACGAGGGAGAAAAGAAGTGGAATATCGACGCGAGAAGCTTGTCGTTCACTTCGCCCACCAAGGAGCACAAGGAGCACAAGGAGCACAAGGAGCACAAGGAAAAGGAAGCTAGCACGCCAGGTGAGAAGCAGGTTTTGAAAACTCCTCCTATCACGCCTGAGAAGCTAAAAAGACGATCAAAGAAACGCAAACGATGCACTGTTTTTTCGAGCAAACAAATCAGATCAACAACTTCTCGATGTCAACCTTCATATTATTGATCGCATCCTTTAACTGCGAATTCTCGTCAGACACAATCGAGCAGGCTACCACAGAACGCGTAACGCCGCAAGCACGTCCCAGAGCGATCTTGGAAGGAACAAACACATAAGGAACGTTCTTATCCTCACACAGCAAGGGAATGTGCAGCACAATCTCCAGCGGCTCCGCGTCTGCTGCCATGACAATGAAAGAAGATTTTCCTCGGTTCAGAGTCTTGGTAGCTGCAAGTGAGCGACATTACAAAAAAAACTACCTTCATTGGCGCCCTTCTTCAACTGACGATAGTTGGAAGCTTGTTGCACAAGGTCTAAGATACGCGTGGTCAACTCCGAAGGAGCCAAAGGATAGGCCTTAGAACTATCGCTATCCTATTCGTTAAGTCGAATAAGCACTATGGACACTCATAGGGTTTTCTTGCCTCAGCTATTTGAAAAAACAGATGTATAGAAATCTATCGTTTTTTTGGAATTCCGGAAAATGAATCTATTTCGGATATTACATTCTGTATTCGATATAGTATGAATGAAACAATAGCACAATTTTGGAATACATTCAATTTATAACAAAATCACAAAGAACACAAAAACAATAATCGTCAAATTATTTTCAATTGTGTTTAAACCTCGATGGATCCGAGCCCAGCAATAGAGAATAAAGCGAGCAAGATTACGGATGATCGTAGAGCGATACATATGAGTATTGGAATTGCCTTGATTTTCTTCGGTATGTGTCGTTTTTTTGAGTTACGGAATAGGCTCCAATACAAGTCAAAACTTTGCAGTGCCCATCTATCGTAGTTATTTTGTGTTTGCACTTATTCCAAGAATCTGTCGGTGCTCTTGCTTTTGGATTGATGTATTTGGCAGCTACGTTCTCTTCGTTCTTTGCTCCCTCCATCATTTCTCGTTTTTCTAGTGAACGAAAAGCTCTGGCTTGTTTCTCCTTCGAATTTTGGTAAGCGATTATCATTGGCTCACCAGCAGCATCTTTGTTGGAGTGTTTGCTTTCAACATTCCAGCTCTGCTTATTACGTGCAGTATTATTCACGGAATTTGCATCAGTGTATGCTTGTCAGTTTATTTTCGTCACTCTTCTAGTGCTTCTGGGCTTCTCAAGGAGTTTATCTCGGTCATGTCAGCGATAGCTCCAATCGGTATTCTTGAATCTCCATCTTCTCAACCCTCAGAGGCAAGCGAGCCGGTACATTCTGGGCGATCTTCATGGCCGGAAACATCTGCGGTAACATCTGCGCCTATTTGGTTTTGCGATTCATCGGCCTGGTCGCTTTTTCTTTCGTTTTTTGATTCACAGAGTCCCGTAACCCACATTTGGAACGGATCGATCAGCATCATGTATCTAACCCTCGCCTTCTTCGTGCTTCTGGGCGCGATTCTGCTTTGTTTCCTGCCTCCGACGCTCTCTGAACTCTCCGAACTCTCCGAATCCAACGATCACGAGGCGCTTCTCCCCAAATCGGACGAGTCCGTGAGCGTTCTCGAAGGAATGAAGAACTGCTACTATCTTCTGACCACGCCCAAGTTCCTCCTCATGTTCTTCACGCTCTTCTCGAATGGTTGATTCCTCTTTGCCTCTCGTCTGTGCTGACTCGCAGGATACATCGCCATGTTCGTCCCCACGCAGATGAATCGCCAAGTGACCGACAGCGTCATCGTGGGCATTTACATGAGTCTCTACGCCTGTACTTTTCCTTTTTTCTTTTTCTCTCTCTCTAGTCTCTGAGATCATCTACAGCAAAATCGGTGCGTACATCAACGATCGTTTTGGCGCCTATTACGTCATCATTATCGGCTCCGTTTCGCAGATCCTCGGCCAGATCCTCATGATTCTCAACGACCACTCGCAGCAAGTCTGGGTCTATTGCATCGCCTATCTCTTCCACGGCGGAGCCGACGCTTGTTTCCAAACCCAGGCCCTCGCTCTCACGCTCTACTACTTCCCAGGCATCTCGGTTACTGCAAACTCCTGCTTCCGATTGATTCAATTCGTGTCGGGAGCCGTGTGCAGCATGACCACGCCGCTGTATCTGAGCGGAGAGACGGTCAGCTGGACGGGGTTCATGATGGAGAACGTGGTGATGTGGACGCTGCTGGGTCTTTCGTTTGTGTGCTTAACGGTGTTCGTGAGGAGGTACAAGACGGAGATCGAGATGGATGATGTGGGAGTTGGGATGGGACGTGAGGCGTAGAGACTGCTGGCAGCGAGGAAGAATAAGTAAGAAGCGGGAAGCTGCAGCGGATTGATGGATGATAGTTTGGTAGATCGAGATTTCTTAAATGTTTGTTGGAAATGGACTTTGTGTGTGAAATGCGTGCAGCAAGCAATGGTGAAAATGACGATGATGGTGATGATGAAAGTGAGGCAAACAGTGACAGTGACAGTGACAGGGACAGGGACAGTGCCAGTTACAATTACAACACAAACGATTCATATACTCGTACAAAAATCATTCAAATCCATAAATAACCAACAACACAATAGAGGATCGAAACACAATTTTTATATCTTACGTCATGAGCAAGGTTGTTGCTGTGGATATTGGAGGTACCAAGATGGTTCTATATACGAAAGTCGGTGGAGTAGTAAGAAGAAAACGTGAGGCGACAGGGAACCAGATTACCCCTCAACAACTGGTTAAAATCATCAAGGACTTCATTAATGATCTTGATTTCACTCCAGATGTGCTAGGCGTTTGTGTTCCGGGACTGGTTGAAAATGGAGTTCTGATTGTCGCATCCGATCGTCCGAATATGGAGGGACTCTCGGAAGAAATGCTCTCGACTCCACAATACAAGGCGCATCTGATAAACGATCTTCGAGCAGCCATGTTTTCGCAGATTCCGAAATACCCCAAGGGTTCCTCTATCTGTCTGATCGTTATCGGCACAGGAATCGGCATGTCTGTGGTCCTGAACGGACATTTTCTCTCTGGAGCCAAGGGATGGGTCGGAGAATGGGGATTATGCCCAGTCCGCCTGGAAGATGGAACCATCTGTAACAACGACCGCATCATGACTGGAAAAGCGATTATCGATCGTTCAGGAATGAGTCCAGAGGAAGTAATACAGAAACTGGAAGAGGGAGATGAACGCATTACCAAAATCGTAAACGAAGCGGGCTTCTACTGCGGAATGTGCCTAGCGTACTGCGTAAATCTATTCAACCCCGAGTATATTGTACTCACAGGATCGACCACTCGCTACAAAAACTATCGGTCGATTGCCTTGTCTACAATGAAGAAGTACGCGATTCCATCAAGCTTAAGCGTTTGCCAAGTGGTCGATCCGGAAGAAGAAGGAGACGTGGTAATTCTGGGTACAGCAGAATACGCTCGCATGATCATTGAAGGAGAAGAGATGCCGTAAAAGCGACTTCAAAAAAGACGAAGTGAGTCTGTATTATTTTGCAAGTTGTTTGTGAATAATCGCGGAATTTTTTCTTAATGCATACAATTCTATATTCTGATTAAATGCAACCATATCCACAGAAACCGACTCAAGGTAATCTCTGTATGATATCCGTGAAGAGTAGATTCACAAGTGTCAACAATTCCTCCACAGGTAGGGTGGTAGGTGTATAGTTCTAAATTTAGGAGTCCACTCCTCCCGTGGATGATTCTTCAGTAAACACTTCTGGAGATGATCTGAAAAGTCTTCCTATAAGAGCGTACTTAGATAAGACGGTCGTTCCAATTCTGCTATTAGGTCTTGCTGAAACTGCAAAAGAAAGGTCTTTCTATTTTGAGACAGGTGATGTGTAGACCAAGCAACCCTATTGAATTTCTAGCAAATTTCCTGTTGCAGAACAATCCCCAAGTCAAGAAGGAGTAATATGTGTCTGCTTTGATTCTACATTGTTTTTTGCACATAGTCTATGGCGGCACGGCCTTTCCAAATGCAGTATATCACAGTTTGCTAGTTGCTGCAAGAAACACGACAAATGGTTTGCCTCCTCAAAACACTTGTATGTCTTCCTTTTTTATTTATATCACTTTAACTCAGCTAGTTCTATTTGATTCAAATGTTTCATACCTATCCAAATAACAGGTTAGAATTCTCAACTGCGTGCATCGATCGTAATTCAAAATCCTCCTGCGGAGAACATAGTCCCATTTATATTCGACTCTCAGATCCAGATTCGAGGCGTGGTTCGCTACTACAACAATACTGATTGTACGGACTTTGATCTCCAAGCCTCATTGGACTTCCAACGAATTGAGCATACGAATCCTGGATATCAAATTGTTTGCTTGCCTGTTCTAACGAAGAAGGGGGAAGAAGTAGGTGTGAGGTTGATCACTCTGAGAATAGCTCAACATGGATTGTCTCGCGAATCATCGATGCAAGACGCTTATTTTGCCTGACACAATGAGAATACCACTGAATATGACGGTGGTGTATGTAGACAGCCCGTTCATTGCCACTTTATATGATCGAATTGTGAGTGCTGTTGATGGCTTTTTGTGTAGAAGCAAGTCAGAATTCCGATCATTCGCTCCATTTTCCTTTCTCATTCCTGGACATGGACACTAACAGTTCTCCTTATTCTGTTCGCCGCTTTCCTCATTATGGTATCCACATCATTCAATGCAGAAACGCACGAAAATCCATTTCGATTCATGTTCCTAACGCACCCCATCACCGTGTATGAATCAAAAAACGCATGGATCCCTAGATCAAAGCCTCAGCTCGAGCGCATGTTTCCATCTACCTCTTTTTCGAGTATCAAGCAAGAGGACTGCCCTATCTGTTTAAGCTCGTTCACTGCAGCTGACAAGATTCGAACTCTGCAATGTGGCCATGGTAAGTAAAGCGATGATTCTGCTTCTTTGTCTAATCTGCAGTATTTCACTCGGAATGCATCGATCCCTGGATGATTGAGTACAAGGCGGAGTGCCCGCTGTGCAAGAACGACATTCGAACTGCAAAAGAAGCGATTTCAACAAACAATTAACTTTTGATGAATAGCAATCTTTGTTTTTTCCCAATACCTAGAACCCCTCACACACACACACCAACCCCTACAATAAAATCTGAAGCACTAAAATCAAATTGCACACGAATCCCGAAATGTACATACACAAAATCAACTTATCAGGCACCTCCATCAGCGTCGTAAAAATCCGCACAGCCGAGCCAACAAGCGAGAATGACCACGAAATAAGCGATAATTGGCCTGTGTGCCCCTGCTTGAAGTTGGTGATGATTTGGGGAATGCGAGCAAAGAGACCGAAGAGAGTGCTAATAATGGGGACAAGAATTTGGAACTAATGGGAAGATGATAAGGTAAAACGAAAGAAAACTTTTGGGGGAATAAACATAATGAGGAGAGCAGACAGAAAGAGCAGCGAAAAATTACGAAACAACAATTTCCCATTCACGTTCACGTCAGTGGTAAAGCTACACATCACGCTTCTGCATCTACTCGACTAATGGAATAAAAGGACTTGAATGACGGCTTGAATCAAGATCATCACGCTTTCACCGAATGTAGAAAACGGATAGCCCTGCAGATTACGGAGCTGTACAAGCGAAAACCTGTACTAGATTATAAACTACAAATGGAAGATTTTCCGCGCATTCAAAGTAAAGAGAGTTAATGTTGAGTCCTAAGACACTTCGGTTCCGCCAAATCTGGTAGATTTGAGGAAACTTCATTACAACAGATCCTAAAATGATGGCATATCCCATCACCTTGCTCAGAAGCAAGGAAAGAAAGTTTCCATCGAGGTTTTCTGGAAAGAACGGGAACTCAACTTTTAAACCGTTGTCCATACGCACTACGGTTTTCTGGTTACCTACATGAGAGCAACTCTGAGATCCTACACTCATGACTTAAACAAAGTTCATATTCTTCCAATCCTTCCCTAGATATGAATTCAAAATCACAAAGGTACATGATATTCAACACCAGGTAGAACGAACAAAACAGGATCGTGTGAATAATAATAATAATCTGTGTAGCTCGCTTTCTAAGCAACCATTGTCTGGCAACAAACACCCGATTCCACGTAACCAAATACAATATACACTAAACAACAAACTAGCTAGCCAGCTAGCCAGCTAGCTAGCCAGCTAGCCAGCTAGCTAACTAACTAGCTCTTCCCCTTCGACTTTTCCTCATTCGCCATAACCAACTGTGCTATCTTCCAAACAGGCATCGGATTCGTATTGTCCAGCTCTGCATTAAACTATCCATCACGCCCTCGCTCCATTCCTACTCGCAAGGTAAATTGCCGATGTCTCTCCACCAGCTGTTCTCGACTTCCATTCGTCGGCAATCCCACCTTCTGCAGCAGTTTCTTTATCTCCGGGGTCTTCATCACGCGATAACACAAAGTTGGCAGGGGGGTGGATGGCTACAATGCACGAATCCCCGCGGTTCTTACGATTTTTTCGCAGGCGACGAAGCCTGCGAACGGCTTGCTGGCCTTTTTGGGATGGGAACCGCTGCATGTGCTGGCGTGAGCCTGTGCTTTAGAGGGAGACGACTGCACTACTTCGATTGTGGCTTGCGAAAAGAAGTTTCCGCAGAGAGGACATTCGAACAGCGGACTATCCGAGGGAGATTTTTTTTTGTCTGGCAACTCGCTAGAATGGAGGGATGACAGCACGGTCTACACTACAAAATCGGAATCACTCGTGGATTCCTCAACGCTCGTGCCGATGGTGGATGAGTTGGCTCGCTTCACGCTCTGCGATAGCATGCTTGGAGAAGGACTTGCGGAGGAAGCGCCTTCCACATTCGAAGTATGGGGTTTTGAAAACATAGTTCGACAAAGTTCAAGCAATTCATTCCGTTGCTCTTTAAAAATATCAAGCACTTCGTTTAGAGTAATGTTGCGAACAATATCGCTCTCCGTAGCTGGTTTACGGCAAAGAGGACAAATCTTTTCCTTAAGAAGAAACTGGCGAATACAGTAGGAGCAAAAGCTATGCCCGCAATTGGAGAGCAAGACGGCTGACCGCATAGTGGCATGGCAAATAGAACATTTTAGAGACTTCTCGATCAGCTGTAGCGGCTTTGCTTCCTCTGGCCAGTCTGCTTCTGTTTCGATAGATTCAAGCAAAGCATCCAGATCCATGCATGAAACAAAATTTGTGAAAACAAACAGTTCGCTCACCCGCCATTTTAGTTCAACCCGCACCCCTCACTCAATTAAATGTGCACTTCCATCGACACTCTCAAAACGGAGCTATCGAAAGGCGAGTCCATTTTGGTCTACATTGCACTTCCTTCCTTTTCCTACCTCCAAACTCGTCAAAAGCGTCGCACTTCTGCTTAGACAGAGACGGTAAGTAGACAGCATCGTTCCTTTCGCATCCACCTTGACAAGCAAATCGCAATTCCGATACGGCTTCATTGAAAGACCGAACGCAATTTCAGCGGCTTTTTTCGCAAAGGAAAAATCGCAGAAGATGCCGGTGCGAATATTCCGGTAAGGTTCTGACAGGACTGCGCCATGCCATGTCGAAAATAGGTTTTCTGTGCTAAAGAAAAACGCAGTACCACGGGTTTCGTAGATTAGAAGTGGATCCAGTGAGCGAAGAAGGGACTGCTTGTCACCCAGAAAGCGAGCACCTAAAATGAAATGGTTGATCTGTGCATGAGATTTTGCAGACGGAATCAACGGAATAGCATGTGGTTGCAGAGAGAACGTGAGAAACAGGATCGATGGCGAAGTCGGAGGCAAACTGCTCTCCGATATATTTTACACCAAATGCAGTTTTCTTGATGTGAGTAGAGCGAATATTCTGGTGAGTTCTAAGTAACACTGCAGAGTTGAAGGATACAGGACGGTAAACGCGAGATTGTGTGCTGTGTTGTAAATATTGAAGTCCAGGACACAATCTCCAGAAGTGTGGTAAAACAGTTTATTCACCATGACCCGTTTACCCACCTTAAAGTTGGAGGTGTATGATGCATTCAATTCCTTGTTTTCTGATTGAACTTCAAATCGATGTTTCTAGTTCAATGAAAAGAACAGTCGTATGCGTACCGAATTCCGATAATCCGCCTGGAATGCGATGTTTGATGCTTTGATATGACCTTCATTCAACAATTCTACATTTCAAGGTTTATATTATTATTATACCGTAAACTCGCTTATACACGTCACTCCACAATAAAGAACCGAACATAAAACTCAATAATTCGCGAATACCGCCATTTTAAACAATGACCCAATTCATATGATGCCCAAATTTGGATCAAATTAGGTGCTGTTGATTACTTCTGTTTTTTGGCAAGATCCATGAGTGATAGTACTTTGCAAATGATAGCTATAGGCGGGATATCTCCGACATGCCCGGGGTTCACGGATCCTTTTCAAACTTTGTATGTGCATGGAACAAATAGTTTGCATTTTATTGAGCTGCCTAAAATTCAATTTCATTTTATGTTATGGTAAACGAAGAGCATCATTTGGAACCGCGGTTAACCCAATAGGTTTCTACTATTCTCTTTTAATAATAAAGATATCTCCATTATTTTTTTGAATCTATTAGCATGTTTAAGTTGGGTACCTCTTCCTCCATCCTGTCGAAGTGTGGATGGCGCTTGTTGTCAAAACGGAGCTTTGAAAAAGTGATGGCAGCAAACAGAGGCGAGATCGCAGTACGAGTAATGAGAGCGGCGCGAGAGCTTTCACTCAAGACGGTCGCTATCTATTCGTACGAAGATCGTTATAACATGCATCGCTCAAAAGCTGACGAATGTTACATGTTGAGCAAGGAGAAGAGCGCTATTGGAGCCTATCTGGATATCCCTACTATTGTTGATATCGCTAAGAAAAACGGAGTATCTGCAATTCATCCAGGATATGGATTTTTGTCTGAGAATGCAGAATTTGCTAAGGCGGTGGAAGATGCTGGAATCGTTTTTATTGGACCCACCGTAGAAAATTTGCGCATGATGGCTGACAAGACTTCGGCAAGAAAAGTCGCCATCGATCACGGTATCCCTGTTGTGCCCGGCACTCCTGACCCGGTTGCGACGTACGAACAGGCGTTGTCCTTCTGCAATGAGGTCGGCTACCCTGTGATCATCAAGGCTGCGTTTGGAGGTGGCGGTAAGGGTATGCGTGTTGTTCGTTCGGAGCAGGAACTCAAGCAGAACTTTGAGTTGGCTTCGCGCGAGGCTCTGTCGGCATTTGGAAACGGAACAATTTTCTTGGAACGCTATTTGGAGGAGCCGCGCCATATCGAAGTTCAGGTGATCGGAGATGGTACGGGACGCGTAGTCCATCTCTACGAGCGAGACTGCTCCGTCCAGCGTCGTCATCAGAAAGTCATTGAGAATGCCCCCGCGGTGAACCTGGATCCTGCAATCCGCGACGGGATTCTGCAATCTGCCTGCCGTCTGTGCTCGCTGATCAAGTATCGCAGCGCTGGAACGGTGGAGTTTTTGGTGGACAAGCAGGGTCGCTACTACTTCATGGAGGTCAATCCCCGAATCCAAGTGGAGCACACGGTGTCCGAAGAGATCACCGGAATCAACATTGTCCAGAAGCAGATCCAGCTGGCGCAGGGCTACTCGTTCGAGGAGCTGGGACTGCAGCAGGACAAGATCACCACCCGTGGCTACTCCATCCAGGCGCGTATTACCACGGAGAATCCCTCGAAGAACTTCCAACCCGATACTGGCGTGCTGAGTACCTTCGAAATGGCGGCTGGCCAGGGCTTCCGTCTGGACGGCATCGGCTACCAGGGCTACGAGGTCACTCCTCACTACGACTCTCTGCTGGTGAAGATGACCACACGCGGACTGACCTGGGAGGAGGCCATGGATCGCGCATACAGTGGCCTCAACGAGTTCAAGGTGGACGGCGTGAAGACGAACATCCCCTTCCTGCTGAACGTGCTGCGGAATCCCATCTACCGCTCGGGCAAGGCCACCACCTTCTTCATCGAGCAGAACCCGGAGCTCCTCAAGGCCAGGGACGAGCACGAGAACCCCGAAAAGGTCGTCAACTACCTCGCCAATCTGATCGTCAATGGCCATCCCTCCGAGCTTGGAGCCACCGGTCCCGCCCCCGCGCCCACCGATCCGACCGTGCCTCCCACGCCGCCAGGCGCTATTCCCGCGGGTCTGCGCGACGTGTTTTTGAAGGAAGGACCGAAGGGCTTCGCGAAGGCCGTGCGTGCCCACAAGGGACTGCTTCTCACCGATACGACGTGGCGAGACGGCCACCAGAGTTTGCTGGCCACGCGTATGCGAACACGTGACATCCTCGCCATCGCGCCCGCCACGGCGCGCATGCTCCCGAATCTGTTCTCGCTGGAGTGCTGGGGCGGAGCCACGTTCGACGTCGCGATGCGGTTCCTGCACGAGTGTCCGTGGGACCGTCTGGCCAAGATGCGTGAGCTAGTGCCGAATATTCCCTTCCAGATGCTGCTGCGCGGAGCGAACGCCGTGGGCTACAGCGCCTACGCGGATAACGTGAACTACAAGTTCTGCGAGATGGCCGTGAAGATGGGAATGGACGTGTTCCGCGTGTTCGACTCGCTCAACTACATCGAGAACATGCGGCTCGGAATCGACTGCGTCGGCGCCGCGGGCGGAATCATCGAGGCCACCGCCTGCTACACGGGCGACTGCGCCAGTCCCAACGAGACCAAGTACACCGTCGACTACTACCTCGACTACGTCCGCAAACTCGTCGATCTGGGTATCCACGTGCTGAACATCAAGGATATGGCGGGTCTGCTGACTCCGCAGGCCGCCAAGCTGCTGGTCGGATCGATCCGCCGCGAGTTCCCCGACCTCCCGATCCACATCCACACGCACGACACTGCGGGAACCGGCGTGTACTCCATGATCGAGTGCGCCAAGGCGGGCGCCGACGCGGTGGACGTGGCGATCGACTCCATGTCCGGAATGACGTCGCAGCCCTCGATGGGAGCCGTCGTGGCCGCGCTGAAGAACACCGAGCTGGACACGGGCATCTCGCTCGAGACCGTGCAGACGCTGAACGACTACTGGAACGACGTGCGCGGTGTGTACGCTCCGTTCGAGTCGGGCCAGAAGAGCGGCTCGTCGGACGTGTATCTGCACGAAATGCCCGGCGGCCAGTACACCAACCTCATGTACCAGAGTCAGCAGCTCGGTCTGAGCGGGCAGTGGCCGCTGGTGAAGCGCGCCTACGAGGAGGCGAACGAGCTGTGCGGGGACATCATCAAGGTCACGCCGTCCAGCAAGGTCGTCGGCGATCTCGCCAACTTCATGGTGCAGAACAAGCTCACCAAGAAGGACGTTCTGGAGCGCGCAGAGCAGCTCAACTTCCCCACCTCCGTCATCGAGTACTTCCAGGGCTACCTCGGCATTCCCGAGCCGTGGGGATTCCCCGAGCCGTTCCGCAGCCGCGTGCTGAAGGGCCGCAAGCTTCCGAACGGCAAGGATCGTCTGGAGGGCCGTCCCGGCGCTTCTCTGCCTCCGTACGATCTGGAGGGCACGAAGAAGATGCTGGCGGAGAAGTATGGCGAGAGCCGCGCGCAGGACCACGACGTACTATCGTACGCGCTGTATCCGCGCGTGTTCCAGGACTGGAAGGACTTCGAGGACAGGAATGGCGACATCTCGACGCTGCCGACGCGCTACTTCCTGCAGCCGATGAAGAGTGACGAGGAAATCACGGTGGACGTGTCGCCGAGCAAGCGCATGTACATCCGCTACAAGGGAATGAGCGAGGTGAACAAGCAGGGACAGCGCGAAGTGAACTTCCAGATCGATGGTCGTCCGCACACGGTGGTGGTGAACGACATCAAGGCGTCCGCTTCGGTGAAGCGACGCGAGCAAGCACAGGAAGGAAACAAGGCGCAGGTGGGCTCGCCGATGACGGGAGCCGTGGTGGAAGTGAAGGTGGAAGCGGGAAAGAAGGTGAAGGCTGGAGAGCCGATTTGTATTTTGAGCGCTGCGAAGATGGAGACAGTAGTGGCAGCTCCGTTCAGTGGAATTCTGAAGAGAGTGATTGTGGAGAAGGGTGAAAAGCTGAAGGCTGGTGATCTTCTCGTGGAAATTGAATCCGAAAAGAAGTGAGTATGATGATACGTTTTGGAGTGTTTGTTTGAAGAAAGAAAAGGGTTTTGATGGGGTAGGGGTAGCCCTGTGGATTATGCGTTTTATATTCGATGATCTCTTCATTCAATTCATTTTGGATTATCTTATGGATTGGAGTGGTATCGATGGGCGACAGACAATGTGAGTAGTGGGGAAATTACGTCAGAGACGCAGAAGTATATGGAGTCGAAATCAGCCGATTTTAACCAGGATCGTCCCCGGTCAGCCCGTGTCTCTTTTGTCACCATGCTATCTATGGAAAAAAGTATTCGCACTGCGAATTTTCATTTCTGCGACATTACTTTATGTTCATCCAAGGCTCAACCAGTAATGGTTCATTCGAATGGATCAACTCGTACAAGTATCGGAACCCCTGCATCACTTCCATAACTGTCCTGTTCAAACCCAATCAAGTCATGTTCAACAATCTGGATTCTACGAATGTGGTCACCAACTCGAATGACGAAGAGCTAACGATTCCTCATGGATACTACACGATCGGTCAAATTATTGTTATCCTCAACACCATAACCGATACTACGTTCTCGATATCTACGAAGGCTTCGAGTTTTGGGTGTATTTATATCCAGTCCACACACACCATCGATTTCACCAATGCTCCGGATATTCGAGAAATCCTCGGTTTGGAAGGACAAATGGTCATTCTACCTGTTTCGTTCTATGGATTGAACGTGATTGATATCACGCGAAATCGCCAAGTGATCCAGATCTACTCGTCCCTCGTGTGTTCCTCCGATCTGAAGATTGCCAACCAGAACAACAATCTGCTCACCACAATGATCATTGACGATCCCGAGGTTAATTATCTCCGCACCATGGAAGACATCTGCATTCCGATGATAACCCGATTCGACCGATTGATGTTCCTGTTCCGCGATATGGATGGTAATATCATGCGATTGAACGGCGAATTCGAACTCCAGTTGACGATAGAAGATGTGATTGATCAAGTGCCTTCCTCAATTCTACCGATGAACCAGTTCAGTATGATCGAAATGTTCGGTAATACTACGAAGAAGGAAGTGAAGCTGGGCAATCCTCTGTCAATTGATCAGTGTTACATCTCGTCTGTGTCGTTGTATACGGATTTCGTGTGCAAAATGTCCCATCCAATCAAGTGATATTAATCGATGCGGGGACATACCCACACGAGGTGTTAATACCCAGAGGAACCTACGACATCACGAATGGCATGAGTGTGATCCGAGTGTACAGTAGTATCAATGCTCAAACATTCGGTCTGAAGAGTCCGCTGATCGATAACCTGATTCATGTATCGATGGGACTGAACAACATGATCACCTGGGACAACCTATCGATCGATGTGATTGAACAATCGAACCTGGATTCCATTGACTGGGTACTGACAGATGCGAATGACCGTCCGATATCCTTGAATTCCAATGTGTACATCTCATTCATGATATCTTGTAAGTACAACTTCAGTAAGGTATTCAAGAAGATAGATAGATAGATAGATATCAATGTCTATCTTCTATACATATATCTGAAAAGTAATAGTTTGATTGTTGTCTCCAACAAATAATCAGCCAGATATGTCTCACAGCTTGATATTGGACAACTACTCATTCCCATAGAGTCCATTCTTATGGATTTCAGCTTTATCATCAACAATACTGATATCACTATTAGTGAGTAATTCTATTCATCCTAATGAGTTGGGAACCAAAGCATTTCACTTTCATCAACCAACTCAAACAGCAAGTATTATGTATACTATTGTTATTTATGCTCGTAATAGAACAACATTGTGAATCACTTTGTATCCCTATTGAAGTGGTGTACAATTCGATCCTTCCTTTAAATAGGAGATATTCTGCATTATTTGGTAGGTGGGGGATACTATATGGGTTAGAATAAGGGATAGTATTCTCTGGCAATATAACAAACTCTGATAGGTTCAGAGTGCATCAAAACGACAAAACTGCACACCAACTATCCAAAAACCTAGAAACAGTGGAATATGAATATATCTCTATTTGTTCGTATAAAATATATTATGTATTCTACCTTATTTTGCTCAGTTCTTCAACGACACACCCACCTTTCTCACAAACTCTACTATTCGATTCTACTATACACATATCACCTATTATTTATATAAATGATAACCCAAAAACTGCTTATCGCTAGCTTTTCCATTTTCATTCCTATCATCATCTTCTACATACCCTATTTCTTTCTATCCCATCTATATAAAATTCCAAATGAATAGAACGAAAAACAAAACGCTTCCACTGGAAACAACACTCTTCGATCTATTCATTCCACAATATCCCATTTCCGCTCATCTCCTTCCACTTCACAGTAAAAACAACTCCCTCCCTATTCGAAATCTATTCTTCCACTCATACCCAATTTCAATACTATTTTCACAATTGCACAATTCCTGTGTATTTTAGAAATCATTTGTTTTACAATAAAAGCTATTAGTTTCGTCTTACTGGGTTTGAATGTATTCAAAATTTGGAATTGGACTTGTATGTCCTGTCTTTTCTTTTGTTTTGTTTTCGGACTTCTATGTGTTTTTGTGTGTTGTGTTGTGGGAGTGTAAGTATTGTAGCTGGGATGGGTTCTGTCCTCAAGTTGGTGTGTTTGAAGAAGCTAGTGTAGTGTGCGCTATCGTTACTTTGACTAAACTGTGTGTGAGATATGTATCGTGAACGCATTCAATACCATAATGGCGGTGGACCCTGGTTCCATTTTTGCTGTGTGGAGTATGTTCCGAGTGAGGAATTTCTGTACTTCAAACTGTGCAACGTGGCGAACCCATTCATGCCATGTGGGACCGCGGATACATGGAGATAACTTGCAACGTGGGAGGTATCTGGGACAGGCACGACGTTCTTGCCTAGGATATCTATTCTGTTTCTCGTATTTTCATTTTCATATAGTGAGGTGGTAGAGTGTGGTAGAGAGAACGGATTTGCGATGAGTGAAAGGGCAAACTATGGGAGCAAGAGCTGTAGGTTTGTAGAAGCGGAGCGTGTGTGGAACGTGGGAGAATGGGACAAGAAGGCGGAGTATGCGAACTGCTGTGGGTATGGTCCTCGCCTCTGATTGATGGGAGCCGAGTGAACTGGAATGGCCAGTGGGAGCAGGCGAGTTCCAAGACGGTGCAGTTCTGCATTTGTGGGTCTGTGGAGCATGGGAAGGTGGAGGTGTGCGTGGTGCGGGCGTGTGGGAAGTGGTGGAATGGAAGAGAGGTGAGGTGCGTGGCGGTGGTGTGCCCCGCGGACGAAGCGGCGGGGTAGCCGGAAGGGCACTTGGGGCAAGTGTTGGATACGAAGTGCGATGTGGACTAGTGGGGCATGATCACGGATGGGTGCAACGCCTATCAGCAGTGGGAATCGATCGATCGATCGATAGGGGACGGGCTCCTGCCAGCCCATCCTGCCGATGCTGCGCTGCGCTGCGCTGCGTGGCGGGCGATGGGGCGAGGGACGTGGCGCTGTGGACGATGGGAGATGGGAAGCAATCCACGATGTACTGCACGAGCAATGTGGGCGTGGGCGAGGTGATGAACGACCCATTCGAGCCCATGAACATCCACATCGTGTTTGAATTGACCGAGGCCACGTTCTCCTATCCCACCACCGCGATCTCCATCTCCGACTACACCATTGCCTTCGCCTTCGCCTTCGATGGCTCCTTCCCGCGGTTCTGCGAAGGCACGCACGTTCTACATCAATGCCAACAGGTTGGTGTCCCGAAACGGCCTCCCCTTCCCCGCGGAAACCCTCATCGCGACCTTCTCGACCCGCGCCGGCGTTCGGTTGGCGTTCGGTTGGCGTTCGGTTGGCGTTCGGTTGGCGTTCGGTTGGCGTTCGGTTGGCGTTCGGTTGGCGTTCGGTTGGCGTTCGGTTGGCGTTCGGTTGGCGTTCGGTTGTGGCCTGCTCGGATTGTGGAGAGCGCGATTGGTATGAGGGAAGTGGAGTAGGCGCAGCGTGTCTGTGCAGATGGAGGTTCCCTGGAGCAGTGGCATCTCCGATGAAGCCCCGATGGATGGCCTTGATGGGCAGCAATGTGCAGAGCCAGTTCTTCGAGACGCGCTCCGTGTTGGTGGCGGGCGCCATTGGGAACAGCGTGATGGCCATCAGCTGGCGTGTCCGCAAGGGCGCCTCCTGGTCCGCCTTCGCGTCCTTCTCCGTCTACCGCCCCGTCGTGCTGCTGCCTCCCTCCCTGCCTCCCTGCCTCCGCGCCCGTCGTGCTGCTGCCGCCTTCGAAGCCACGCAGGTGCGCTGGGTCTGGTGGTGGTGCGAGCTCTTCGTGCAGGCCTTGGTTGGCTCCCACTCCCAGCTCTTCGCCGCCGACGCGCTCCTCCAAGAGGGCGACGTCCAGCAAGCCGAACTCTCTCTCTCTCGATGCGTGCGTGGCCTACTGGGTGCGCGTGGCGCTGTGCTCCGCCGCGTGCTCCATCCTCTCCGAGGCCTCCTCTCCCATCACCCTCGCCGCGTATGTCGTCGCGCCCGGCGCGGTGCAGAACCTCGAGGTGGCCGCGCTCTCCTCGACCTCGCTGCGCGTGCAGTGGGCAGAGCCGGCGGAGCTGGGCGGCGCCAGCATTCGGTACTACGTGGTGCGACGCTCGTGGATGGCGTCGATGGCCGTGATCCAGAGCGAGAGCGAGAGCGAGAGCGAGAGCGAGGTCGCCAGCACGAACTGCTTCCTGGACCTGCAGAGCGTGCAGAGCGTGCAGAGCGTGCAGAGCGTGCAGCACGCGCCCATCTATCTGAGCGTGGCCGCGTTCACCGGGTATCTCTCCCGCCAAGAGAAGATCCCCGCGGTTCTGTATACGGTGTGTGTGGAATCAGGCGGAGGGCATTGAGTGGGACTGTGCGATGGCGATTACCGGATCCTTCCATGATCTCTGCACCGCCACGTGCGAGCTTCGCGCTCCCGCCACTTCCTCCTTCCTCCTTCCGCCGAACCGTCTGGTTCCCCGCGGGACGCGATGTGTGGGACGTGTTGGAGGGTGGGATCCCCGCGACTTCCTACACGCTGGAGTGCGTCCCGAGCGAAGTGGGCAGTGCCGAGTGGATGGGCAGGCAATTCGGAGTGTCCACGATGGCCACGTCGGAATTCGTTGGGTGTTGGTGGTGGACGGCGAGCCAACCTCCTCGCTCACCGGTTCGCTCTGGGTGTGGGTGTGGGTGTGGGTGTGAGTGAGCAGGAATCTGGTGGGCGATGGGGTGGGGTCCGTGGCTCCCTACGAAGGTCTGCAGAGTCGACCGGGCTCTCTGGATCTCTTCCTGTCCAACTGGGCGCAGAACGCCACCGTGGTCTCCGTCACCCAGCCCCTCCGCCTCCGCCTCCGCCTCCGCCTCCGCCTCCGCTTCCTCTTCGCCTACGACGTGACCGGCGCGCTCATCCGCGCCCACCTCGTCGATCACGCCTGGTGCGCCGTGGGTCGCGATGTTTCCACGTTTCCACGATCCAGACCGATTTGGCAGTTGCTGAGAGAAAGAGAAAGAGAGAGAAATGGTTGCGGTGTTTGGTTTGGAAGATGGATGGATGGATAGATGGAATTGTAGAGATGTGGAATGGTTGAAGCGTTGTAGGATTTGAATGAGAATCGAAAATGTGTTTAGGAAAGAAGGAAGGAAAATGTAGATTTAGAGTGTGTAGGGTGTTGGAATGATTTAGAAACATGAACAGAATAATCCAGAACGAGGAACCAAACGACTCTAGTTGATAATAATAATAATAATAATAGAGTGCTGTGAGTTGATAGTTGAAACAAACAAAGATAGATAGATAGAAAGAAAGTGTATTTAGAGTTAGTTGGTTGGTTTAGGATAAGGAAATGATAGAAAATGGAGTGAATGGTTAACGATGTGCGAAGATAGGTTCTTTGTGTGAAAATCACTGGATCAAAACCAGTTTCCATTCCATTCGATTTGATTTACTAGTTTTACTAGTTTTACTAGTTTGAATTGCTTTCAAACCCAACCATTCCCAAGTCAAAATGATTTGGCTAGAATCATGGATGGATAGATTGGATTATCGAAAGAATAATCATGATAATGATAATAATGATAATATAGACTATTTAGACAAAGTGGAGTGAACAACCAAATCCTTGCTTCATAACACGATTTCACTATGATATCATAAATATACAACCTATACAGACATAGTACACAACAAAATGGACTTTTCCATTCTGAGTGTTTCCAAACAATCCTGATATTATTATTTTAAATATCTATACCTCCGAACTATTTCAACCACAAAAATGTGAACAAAATGATGCGAAACACAAGTGAGTACTTCACTTGGAAATCTTGGATCCAATGTGTATATGGTAGCACTCTATCATAATTTTTAAATATGAAGAATACTTAGGTGTACGGAAACAAACTGATCTCTCTGTTTTCTTCATAAATTCTTTATATTTGGCTACAAATTACGGATTCAAAGAGTAGAGGCTAAGGATATGTGATTATAAATAGGTAGAATGCAAGAACTTAAGGGAAGCGAATTTCTCCTGGACAGTTACATAACGCGTGGTGAAGCAAAGGAAATCACTATTGGTGGCTGCAAGTATAGCCTCCAATATTATCAAGGCGATCACGAGGAAGAATACACGTTGACGAAAGATGGGAAGGTTTGCCTATTCCAAAATGGCATATTGAAGATGTGCTTTGAGGTGGATGCGAACGGGAGCGAAATCGGCGACTTTACGCGATTTGATAATGGACGTGTCGCATTTGTGCAATCCTATGATGAAATCTGGGACAACAAGAATTTTCATCGTATAATAAACCATGTCCGAGGCGAGCGGATGGAAATCTATTCGCATGCGAGTGATCACCTGATTTATCACGGTGAATTTAATGAGAAGCGAGAACGAGAAGGATGGGGCATCCAATATGACGAAAAAACGGGTGTCATGCTGCTCGAGGGGATCTGGAAGGAAAACAAGCTGGTGGAGATCATCCGCAAGATTGAAGGAAACATCATGACCGAGTTCAAGCGAAGCGGTAACAGCACCATCGCTTCGAATCGAATTCCCCTCTATGTGGGTGAATTCGTTTATGATGAATCGAAAGAATCGTTTCTTCGAAATGGTCGAGGATACTGGATCGATGAAGAAACTCGGATTGCTACTCGCGAAGTGGAATGGAAAGATGGAGTGGAAGTGAGTGGAAGAGATCTCTATGATGGATGGTACACTCGATCCACAACTCCAAAACCCAAACCCAAACCCGCTCCGATGCCTGTGCCTGCTCCTGCTCCTGCTCCTGCTCCTGCTCCTGCTCCTGCTCCAAAACGCGAAGAACCTGCTCCTCTTCGATTCAGCGTCACTGGATCTACAAAATGGACCGATGTGAGTTTGCAAGTGACCGATTTGAAGATTTCATCGAATTGCTGTAACGATTTGAATGCATTGGATCTGAATCGATTCGAGTGGCTACGATCTATCGAAATCGGCGATGAATGTTTTGGATCAGTGCAAACATTCAAAATCGATGGATTGAATCGATTGAAAACGATCAAAATCGGAAACAAGTCATTTACTCAAGTGAAAAGCACTGACGAGTGGGATTCGAATAAGGTCAACAACAAATCGAAATCATTCCACATATTGAATTGTGGATCATTGGAATTCATTCAAATTGGTGAATGGAGTTTCGTTGATTTTGGAGGTGACTTTGAATTGAAGAATCTACCACAATTACAATCCATTCAAATTGGTACCATTGGGACAATTGGAAGTAGGTCAGACAATTTCCGTTATAGTTCATTTGTGATTCGAGGTATTGATATGATATTGAATATTTGAATGATGCATAGATCTTCCAAATCTACAATCCATTACATTAGGTGATTATGCATTCCAGTATTCCTTATCAACAATAATTGAAAGTATTGAATGAATTCGAATGAAATGATTGATGTAGATCTTCCATCATTACAATCCATTCAACTCGGTAAATCTGCACTTTATGGAAGAGGGGAATATTCAAGTTCATTGATAATGCGAAGTAATAATGAAATGATTGGTTATGATTTGCTTTGTAGATCTTCCAAATCTAACATCAATAACTTCTGTAGAATATAGTTTCTATTATCTTCGTGTAGTGACATTGAAAAGTATTTCTGAATATTGAATATTGATAGTATATAGATATTCCAAATCTTCAAAATGTCAAGCTACCTGAATCATTCGATAGAGTTCAATCGAAATCAATTTCGAGTATAGTTTGATTGATTTGATTTGATTCATAGATGTTTCTTCCATTCTCTCTGATCTTGTCCAAATCAAGCAGTATGGTCGTGTCAAAGTCAAGCATTAAATCTATAATTTTGATTTGATTTGATTTGATTTGTTCCTGACCCTAGGGGTATTGTCGATATAAAATACGAGCAGACTTGTTC